GGAAAGAGATTGGCGAGAACCAAAAGGTACACAAGGAGAATAAAAACAGAAATCTCTCTTAACTTATAAACCAATGTAGATTTAATTAATTATTTATGATTAATTCTAGTGACATATAAACTTTAAGCGAGACTAAAGTGTGGCCTGCGAGCCATTTGGGGCCCTCAGAAGGACTTAACACGGTCCCTTGTTGCATTTCCAGTAAATGATGATGTAGAGCTGTAGTTTTTTTGTTCTGAAGTTTTGTAATATGAAGCTTATGTTAATGACACAAAAATATATTAGGCATTTTTTTATATAAAAATTAAAGTTTTTTAGGTCCATTAGGACTTTTGACCATTTTAGCCTTGGTCTTTAAAGGTTTAGACACCATTGCTTTAAACCAGGCATGGGGAACCCTGGTCCTCGAGGGCCGGTATCCTGCATGTCTTTGCTCCAACACTTTTGATTCAGTGGTTGATTCACCTGTTCAGCAGCTCATCAAGCTCTGCAGAAGCTTGTTAATCACCTTCTGATTGAAATCAGGTGTGATGATGCAGGGTTGAAACTAAAATATGCTGGATAGCGGCCCTCGATGGACCAGGGTTCCCCACCCCTGCTTTAAACGGTGAAAAGGGTATTTTTCTCTTCTTTTTTTTTATTTAAAAAGTCCATTTATGTTTCTATTTATCCATCTTATCCATTTATCTCTAGCTCCACAATAAACTAAAAGTGCCAAAAGATTCCCAGTGAAATGTAGAAGTTTGTTGATGATGAATTGTGGACATAACTGACCCGCTCCATCAGTTCACTTTTCCTAGAAACATCCTTCATTTCTGGACCGCAAAGGTCTTCATAAAAATGTTATGTTTTAATAAAAGTATAAAATGTAAAGTTTTTACTTAGCAAGCATGAGGGAAAAATCATTTGTAAATGATGTTGGTCCAAAGTTGAAGTTAATAGTTTTTTTACTATATTTATTCAGTTCAATTCAATTCATGTTTATTTATATAGCGCCAAATCACGACAAGAGTCGTCTCAAGGCACTTCACATAATTAACATTCCAATTCACAGTTCATTAAGCCAGTCAGAAAAAACGTTTCCTATATAAGGAACCCAGCAAATTGCATCGAGTCACTGACTAGTGTCAGTGACTATACAGCAATCCTCATACTAAGCAAGCATGCAGCATATTCAAGAATTCGTGGTTCAGGATGAATTTTTTCTTTAAGGTTTTTTTTTTCCCAAAACTGGGATTGGGACCAAACTCTGGCTCTTGAGATGATTACTTGAATATTTTCACTTTACTTGATGAAAAGACTAAAAGGTAGACATATATGTTGTTTTAGATGTTTGCAGACACAAGTTCTTAATGAAAAGCCGCTAAACTCCCATGATCCTTTTCTTTTCTGACTCACTTGTACGTTTTCCATCCATCTGACTTGTTGGTTAGGAATAACAAAGCTCTGATCACCAGTGTGATCCAATAAAGACGAGCAGATAATGTAGTGGCGTGCAGCCGCAGCTCCTTGGCCTCCCAGCTTCAGCCTGAAGGGAAATACCTCCTGTTGTTGTTTGTTCTCGTCACCTTTTATCGTGTGATAGATTGTAAACAGCATCCGAGTTGAAAAGCGTTTTGGTTTCTGACAACGTGTTAGGCTCTGCCGCCCTAATAACGAAGTAGGTAATCATCCTTTTCTCCTCGTCGATGTGTTTTCACTCCTCCTCCCACCTCCTCACGCCTCCCGGTTCCCGGCGCTGTTCTCACATTATCTAGTTGTGCAGAAGACGGGAGTTTGGATTGGTGGCGGGGGTGTGCAGACAGACGTCCTAATTACTGAGTCGGTGATTCATTCAGCAGACGCACTCAGTCCTGCGGCAAGAAATGATTATTGATTGAAGTGGTTTGGACACCAGTTCTTCTTCCTCTCACACACACACACACACACACACACACACACACACACACACTTTCAGAGTTTAAGTGGGACGAACAATATTTGTGTTAATCATGTCTTGTTGTAATTGCGGCGTCTGGAGTATGATTAATCTGATGTCTTTGTCTTTCTGTAATGAGATTTGACTGCGCCAGAATAACTCCGAGCCCTCCGCTGCCTCTGCAGAAACACACACACACACACATCTTCGTTTTCCTAATAATTAGACCTGTTTAGTGTGAGGTCTGATTGCGTTAAACAGACTTTGAACAAAAGCTGTCAGAGCTCGTTTGGAGCTGTCAACTTGGCTCGTTGCTGCTTTGCGGTGCTTCTGGTTTTACAGCGAGTCGACTGCTCAAAGGGAGGTTCTGATGTCACCTGCTGCAGAGTGTGGCGGTCTGCTCAGCTGATGAGAAGGATCCATATTTGATATAAACAGGCCGGTTAGTCACTCTGACATGTCTCTCTTTTCAGTTTTTCAAAGGAACACTGGGGTTGCAGCCGGGGGACTCGGCCCTGTTCATCAACGGGCTGCTCATAGATCTGGACACACAGGACATCTTCAGGTAGACGCGCTCATGAATGAATATCTGTTATTGAGATAGTTGGTAGGATAAAGGAGCCCAGACCCAAAAGTTATAGTCACAAAAGTTAAATAAAGACTTGAAGTACATGTAATGGATCTTTCATCTTAAAGTTTCTCTGTAAATTACCAAAGCTAACAGTTTATTGATGCTTCAAATCCTCAAAAACACGTGAGAGGCGACAAGGCCTCGGAGGTCATGTGATCATCAGATGTGAACCGTGGTGTTAAACGCCCACAGACACCTTCACACCAACTGTCGATGTGAACACACACTCACCTCTGCTGCGTTACGTTTAGCGTGTTGGATGTGCTGCGCGGCGAGGCGAGGGTAATGGAGGGTCTGCGCTCGCTGCTCATCGACACGCCCTACATCCACGACGTACTGAAGCTCAACGTCCAGCCCTCTGATTCTGACTACGCCGTGGACATCCGCCACCCCGCCATCTGTGTAAGAGCTCACATGCAAAGCATCACACCGAAGAAGGAACTGAGCCGTGAAACTCTGAGAGAAAGCGTTTCCTTTCTCGTCTTCGAGCGTTAGACCTCTACCTGCTAAGTCGCCTTTTATCATTATTTTCTCTTTAGTGGATTAACAACCTGGAAACGGACCACAGGTACAGCTCGTGGCCCTACAACGTTCAGGAGCTCCTCAGGCCAACTTTCCCCGGAGTCATCAGGCAGATCCGCAAGAACTTTCATAATCTGGTAAACCCACGGCCGAACAAACAACAAACGGTTTGAGTTTTCACCCTCAGGGAAAGTAACGGCGTGTGACTTTTTACAGGTGATCATGTTGGATCCGACCCAAGAGAACACGGTTGAGCTGCTGAGTGTGGCAGAGATGTTTTACGACAACAATATTCCTCTCAGGTTGGTCACAATCCAAGCTCCCTGGTCTTAAAAGTTTCAATCATGGCTCCAAAGTCTGAAAAACGGCATCATGATGGTCGTTCTGTGGGCGGGCGGAGCAGGCAGCACGTTTCTGAGCTTTAACCGTTTGTGATGAAGGATCGGGCTGGTGTTCGTGGTGTCTGACGAGGACGACGTGGACGGCATGCAGGACGCGGGCGTGGCCCTGGTCAGAGCTTACAACTATATCAGAGACGAGGTGGACAGCCACAGCGCATTTGAAGCCGTCCTCTCAGTGAGTTCAGTTATTAAAAAAAAAAAAAACTTTTGAAATTAGTTTACCTTCAAATCCTCCAAATTTCTGCCGGTCCATTTTTTGTCTCACTAGATGTTTAACCGCGTGCCGATCGGAGGACGGCTGAGCGTCGGGGACGTTGTTAAAGTTCTAGAGAAGAGATTTCCCTATGTGGAGGTCAGCAGTGTCCTCGGAGCGGACTCGAGCTACGACACCAGCAGAAAGGTAATCACAGCTGACTTTAAACGGTATCATTTACACGAATAACAGATTATTTAACCCAATCTGCCGGCTCTTCATCCCTCCTCTTCTCTGTTGTTTCTAACATGTGACCTCATCAGGAAGGACGGCTGTACTACGAGCAAACAGGATTGGGCTCGCTCCCCGTCGTCATGTACAATGGCATCCCTTTCCAGCGGGACCAGCTGGACCCTGACGACCTGGAAACCATCACTATGCAAAAGATCCTGGAGACGACGTCCTTCTACCAGAGAGCCGTCTACCTGGTTCGTCACACCTGGATTTGCTCAAAAATCTTTAGTTTAATCAGTTCAGAAGCTGAAAACCCTTTTTTTAACGATTATTTCTGATTATAATCGTTCACTCAGAGATTTTCATGCAGGCTGAACATGAAAATAGTGTCCTACACCTATCTCCTGCATTAGCTTCTGACAGAAAATAGACAGAGAAACTCCAGGATTAGAAAATCCTGGCAGATCTACGTCACACTGTCATTTAGCATTTATGGACTCACCCATCCTGACTCACGACGGGGAAGGCTGTTTTGTCTTTAGAATCCAGGAAGCAGCATAGAACATCTTGGCTAGTAGATGCTAACTGTTAGCATTAGCAGCTCTGCTACACATCAGAACTCCTCCAGACTTGTGTTATTTGCGGAGAGAAAACATCAACAATGCAGAGTCATTGGTAGAGTTACGTTGCTGTTAGCCAATCAGAGGAGAGATGTCCGAATAACAGGAAATGAGACTCCAGATCTTGCCGTCTGAAGCTTACGACTAGCTCCTGAAACTGGTGCATCAGTGCTTTGTTTCCCTCGAGTTCGACTTTCAAGGCATTCATTCGTACCAGACACCATTGCAGATGTATTGAATAAACAAGTGTTCCACACCTTTAAAGCAACAAGATACTTAAATAAATTTAATTTAACCATCAAAAGGAACTTGATATAGATGTTTAATTTGTGGCTTTTCTGATGTAGTTTGTAGAATTACACTTTTGTAGCACAAAAAACATAAAAGGAAAATATTTAAGTTAATGACAAATCTTCATTTAGCTCACTTTCTACTTGTTCGTCATTTCAGATGAGTTTAATTATTATATAATATAATTTATTTACTGTCAAACCTTTAAGAGGGAAACACCTGTAGCGCCTTCAGGAAACGCCGTGCTGCACCACTCTGATCCTAACTAACTTCTCCCGGGTTGCAGGGCGAGCTGCAGACGGATAACGACGTGGTGGAGTTCATCATGAATCAGCCCAGCGTAGTCCCCCGGCTCAACCCCAGGGTGCTGTCCTCCAGCAGGACCTACCTGGACCTGTCCAGCACCAGTGAGTACAGCTTCAGCTGAAACACCGCAGAGAGGAACATAAAGTAGTTTTCCATTATGGACTTTAACAGAGCCCAGCTCGATATTTAATTATGAAGATTTGCAAGTTCAAGTTTCCTGTTTCTGATTCATGTTTTCTCCACTAGCCCTGATTTATGATATGGAGTCACTTTTTTAGTGTGATGTTAAACAGCGTCGCTTCCTTTTCCATGTTTTTGCAGACAACCACTTCATAGACAACTACGCCCGTTTCTCCACCCTGGACACGAGGGAGAAGAGCGCCGCCGTAGCCAACAGCATGAACTACATGACTAAGAAAGGTTTGAAAATAAACAAATCAATAAAAGAAAGGCGTGTCCTCCAGCCTGACCTGTCCTGTCCCCCTTAATCTCCGGGCTTTAGGGATGACCACCACCAACAGGCATGGTAACCTCCTCTCCCTTCTCTTGCTCTTTTTAACCCTTTCTGTCTGCCACAGACCCGCCATCACATCTGTGACTCCACCACTCCCACCGTGCATGTCGCATTGCTCAGAGGAATCGAATGACTAATGCACGGGATTATTCTGTATTAAGATTTATCTGTTCTTCTTAGGGATTGCATGACTGGTTTTTCCGTAGCTGCATGATATTTAAGTGAAGAATTCACATGTATTGATTTTTTTTTTTTTCACATCACAGACACTGCAACCAGGGGGCAGGAAATACACGTATCCCAGTCTGGGAAATCCAGCTCCACGGATGACATCATTAGGAAATAATGTGTCCAGTTTTCCCAGATTACCGTTCTGTCTAGATTGAATGGTTGTGCAGTAACCATTTATTCCTTAAACATTAAAAACTACGTTCATTACGGGTGTTTGCGTTTTAACGTCTTTTGGTCAGTGTCCAGGACTTTGCCCCCTGGATGCATCCAGATTGTCAGCCAGCGACACGCCCACACATGTCACTTCCTGTCTTTGACCTGACCTTTTTGTTGCTCTGGTTTCTTGTCAGATGAAGGGTCCATCCGTCCTGTGACTTTCTGGGTGGTCGGTGACTTTGATGAGCCCTCAGGACGTCGGCTCCTTTATGACGCCATCAAACACATGGTACAGTAACCAGAGAGTCTCTCTGTTAACCATACTTACCTATGATCAGCCTGAAGAAAACTCGTTCTGGAAATTTTGCATTTGTAGGACATCAAGTGGGCCATAATACCCCTAAAAGGGACCAAACTTTAATGTTGGCTGTGGAAATCTTCTTGCTCCAGCACAGATGCTCTCAGCCAGCTTCCTCTCTTTACCTGGGATCAGATTTATTGATTTGAATCTCAAAACACGCACTTCTGGGTTCTGGAGTCGTCGTCCGGACTTCTTGAGTCCTGATGCTGACATTCAGGCAGCAGGATCCATCAACACCTGGAAGTTTGGGTTCCTGATTTCATAAATAAGGAAAATGAGGGAAACTAAAAGCAAAAATGAAGAAGAGATGATAGAGAACGACTCTCATGGAGAAAATGATTCATTTAAAAATGTCCTGCCTCGCAGTGATGGATAAAGACATGAAGCTGATTTTTTTTCTGTGATATTCTGAACACCTGTGTGGAAGGTTAACATGATACCAAGGGCTGAAGGTAGCAGAAGATCTTCTCCTAAGCATTTCTGCTCCACAACAGAAAACCAGCAACAATGTTCGACTCGGGATGATCAACAACCCATCCGCTGCTCCGTCTGCTGAGACAAGCCGCGTGGCCAGAGCGGTCTGGGCCGCCATGCAGACGCAGTCCGCTAATAACGCCAAGAACTTCATCACCAAGATGGCAAAGGAGGAAACTGCTGCTGCTCTGGAGAAAGGCGTGGATGTGGCAGAGTTTGCTGTCGGGGTGAGGAGTTTCTCCTACAGGATGATTCATCGGCTCCTTTCCTTTTTATAAACGTTTTCACTCTTTTCCCTTCAGGGTATGGATTTGTCGTTGTTCCAAAGTGCATATGAGGGTCCCAAATTTGACTTCCTGCTCTCCCACGCTGCTTTCTGTCGAGATGTGCTGAAGCTGAAGAAAGGACAGAGGGCGGTTATCAGCAACGGAAGAGTGAGTCAGAGTTGTTGCTGCTTGTTTAAGAGAAACTTTAAACCTGCAGGGAAACAGGTGAGCAGCATAAAGCCTGTGCTAATGGAGGAAACTGTCTCTCTGCACAGATCATAGGTCCTCTGGACGAGGGCGAGGTGTTTAACCAGGATGACTTCCTGCTGTTGGAGAACATCATCCTGAAAACATCTGGAGAACGCATCAAAAGCAAAGTCCAGGGCTTTGAAATGGAGGAGGACAGGTATCGTTACTGACTTCATGAAGTAGCTTCATTGATGATGAAGTTCTCCAACGTGCTGATGAAGCGTTTCCCTCAGGGCCAGCGACCTTGTCATGAAGGTGGATGCTCTGCTCTCCTCTCAGCCCAAAGGGGAGGCCCGGCTGGAATACGGCTTTGCAGACGATCGCTACAGGTAAGCTCCGCCTCCGTGATGTTTACAGACCCGTCTTTCAGCAGGGGGACTCTAAAAGCTGAACACACAGACCATAAATCGCTAAAAGCAGCATGTTCTCTGTAGAGAAGAGGAAAATCTGTTTTGTTTACTTCACTCCATCATTGATCTGCGTGTTGTCGGCAGTGCTGTGAAGATTCGACCTAAGGAGGGAGACGTCTACTTTGATGTTGTTGCAGTGGTGGACCCGGTAACGAGGGAAGCTCAGAAACTGGCTCCACTTTTAATGGTTGGTCTCTGGTTTGAGTGGATGACCCGTCTCTGTCTCCGTCCTGCTCAGGCTTTTATCCTGCCCCCTCGTCTGATTTCTCTCCTCTGTGTCTTTGTCCCTCCTTGTGTCTCCATCGTCTGCAGGTTCTGAATCAGCTTGTAAACATCAACTTAAGGGTCTTCATGAACTGTCAGTCCAAACTGTCAGATATGCCGCTGAAAAGGTAAAAACAATGAGCATCAACAATTATATTTAGGTTTAAAAAAGTAAAATATTAAAACACTGAAACTTAAGTGCCGAAAACTTCTGTTCTTGTTTTATTTCTGTGGCTCCAAAGGCCTGTTTTTTTTTTTTTTTTTTTGGTTTTTATTTTTGCATTTAAATGTTTCAGATCAGTAACAAAATGTCAATGTCAGACAACAAATGCAGTTTTCTAATGATTTTTTCGTTTGTTACATTAAAAAATGTTGAGTTGGGAAAAACCCACTTGAGACGCCTAAACGATCTCAAAAAGCAACACGCTACGTCCTAAAAAACCCGGAACCGCTGTTCCCACATACACAAGTGGAAGTGTGTCCCGTTACATCAGTCAAACATGGAGGTGGCAGTGTGGAGGTCTGGGGCAACATGAGTTCTGCTCTCTAGCTGACCAACCTCTGACCTTTGACCTTTAGCAGGCCTTTAATTCTAGGAAACTCTCAAATGTGGCTGAATTAAAAGTCAGTTACTTTTTCACATGAGGTTGGCATAGCTTGTATTTATTCAGGTCAAATAACTTTTTAATATTTGCTTTTGATTTGAAACATTTAAAGTTTGACCCAAATAAGCAAAAATGACTTTTTCACAGCTCTGTTGATAAAATAAATGAGTTAAAACATCTTCTGAAGAATCAGCACTCATGAAAACTTCCTCTGCCCCCTCCCCAACCCCCCCCCCCCCCCCCCCCCCCCCCCCCCCCCCCCCACACACACACACACACACACACACACACACACACACACACACACACACACACAGCTTTTACCGCTATGTTTTGGAGCCGGAGGTGGCGTTTCAGGTGGACGGGAGTTTCTCTCCCGGACCCATGGCCAAGTTCCTGGACATGCCTCAGTCACCGCTCTTCACCCTGAACCTGAACACCCCAGAGAGCTGGATGGTGGAGTCTGTGCTGACCCGCTACGACCTGGACAACATTTACTTGGAGGAGGTCAGGCTAACTCCACCTTGAACTCAAAATTAAACCAATTTTTATGAATTACACCAGTTTTCTATCATCACTGCACTTTTGACTTTGGTGTTTGGAAAGATGGAGGTTTTATTTTTGTTGACACTCACCATGAAGCTTTCAGGCAATGAGTAACCATGGAGACGACCGCTTTAGATGATTCATAGGTTAAACAGCCCAAGCTTCTTGGTTCTCGACTTTCTTGTTCTTTACCTCTCTGCTAAACTTTCCCCTGTGTTGGGACATTTTTCACCAGCAGCTTCAGCTAGTTTGGTTAGTCTCCACCAGTGTTGGAAGTAACGCCGTTTAAATATAACGGCGTTACTAACTGCGTTCTTTTTTAGGTAACGGAATAATCTAATTACTTTTCCCACTGCTGCAACGCCGTTACCGTTACTGGGGCCGGAGGGTTGTGCGTTACTATGTGCTTGTCCAACGTTGAGCAACAGTGTGAGGCTTTCTGACCGCCACACTTCAGCTGCAGCCAGGGAGAGAGAGGTGTCAGTAACGCACTTACAAACACGATGATGATTGGCCGGGTGGGCGGAGACCCTCAGTGTTCTCACGGTCTCAGTCGCTGCCTGCTGTAGACCCAACAGAACGGTGATGGGAATAACGCCGTTTAAAATAACCACGTTAATAAAAAAAATATTTCTTTCTGTAACGAGCAAACTAATTAATTACCGTCTTCTTTTAACAAAACGATTGTTTCTGTTACTGATAAGGAAATGCGTGCGTTAAGCAGCGCTGTGTGTTGAAGCTGTCATCAGCTGATCAGGAGCTAAAGAGGTAGATGTTTTCATCCAAGCGCATCACGGCCCGTGAAGAACGAGGAAGACGTGATGAATATCTACGGCTGCAGACCCCCCGCAGATTTGTTGCTGCAGCAGCAAATCTGTGGGTCTGCAGCCGTGCCCTTAGCGTGACAGCGTGACGTCCCGAAGGTCCGCTCACCTGTTCACCGCTCAGACGTCCTGATCTTCTACCTTCCTAGATCATCCAGCTGTGACCTGTTTCTGATCATGTCTTTAGTCCCGCTGTAACACTGATGCATCAGTCTCAGACGTCATGGAGCTCAGGTGTTATTAGAACTACCTGTGTGTCTTCACCACCCAGCTTCAGCTCTTCTGTGGTTGGGTCTGACCCAAGTTAGTAAATGTAAGCCCTCCATCAGGCTTGTGCCTCTTCTAGTGTCATTAGGATTTTATTTATTTATTTAACCGTTACTAGATTAGCACCAACAGAAATGCCACTAAAAACACACAATTATGTGAAGCTGGAAAAATTAAATTGCTGTGCAAAATTATATTCATTTCTGTAATTTAACTAGACTGAGAGACCATTTAAAGGCTCGGGAACCTTTACAGGTGTTTCTATTGGCAGTTTTAAATTTTAGCTGATTGGGGTCTTGTTAAATATCACACAGTGATGTTTTAATAGTCTAGATAAGTGTAATGTTCCTGTTAGTAGTTCCTCCTGTTAAGTGCTTATTTATTTAAATGATTCAGGTTTATTAAAAAACATTTGGACATACGTTTTATTGTGTTCCAGTCATTAGTCATTTATATTTCACTATTGTAGTAATTCTTGCATGCTTTAATGAAAAAAGTATCTAAGTGGTTATTTTTCTTGGTAATTAGTTACTTTTATAATCTTGTAGCTCAGTTAGTAACTGAGTTACTTTTTTAACAAAGTAATCAGTAACTATAACTAATTACTTTTTTAAAGTAAGGTTGCCAACACTGGTCTCCACTCTATATCAGCTGCTCTCCGTTGCCCACAGGTGGAGAACATCGTAGCAGCGGAGTATGAGCTGGAGCATCTTTTATTAGAAGGGCACTGTTTCGACGTGGGGTCGGGCCAGCCTCCTCGTGGGCTCCAGTTCACTCTGGGAACGGCGTCTGAGCCGGTCATGGTGGACACCATCGTCATGGCGAACTTGGTAAGCTAAAGCTTGGTGGTAAATGAGCTAACTCTGTTTATTCTAAACCCGTTGTTCTGTGCAGGGTTACTTTCAGCTCAAAGCCAACCCCGGTGCCTGGATGCTGAAGCTGAGGAAGGGACGCTCTGATGAAATCTACAAGATTTACAGGTGAGAAGCTGCTTCTCCACCACAGAGATAAAATGTTTTAATCATTCTTGAATTCAGACGATATTTTATCCTCCCAGATCTCCAAAGCAGTCATAAACTGCACCGATGCTTTTATCATTCTCCTTTTTTTTTTTGTCTCCTGCAGTCATGAAGGCACCGACTCCCCAGCAGACTCGGATGACATTATAGTGGTGCTGAACAGTTTCAAGAGCAGAATCATTAAAGTCAAGGTCAGTTGACCTGAGACATGGCCTCAGCGCTATGGAAACATGAATCCATGGATCACGTCCAGACTGATTTCTCATTAGATGAAGACTGTTTTGATTTAAAAGGAAGAAAACTGAACAGATGCTGGAGATTAATATTAAGAAATGGTCAATATTGCATCTTAAAACCTAGAGAATAGAAATGTTAGAGGTGGGAAAAGCAACTAAAGAATATGTGGAAAACCTCAGTAAAGCATATTTTTCTTTAGGTCCAGAAAAGGCCAGACAAGTTCAACGAGGAGCTGCTCAGCGACGGGACCGAAGAGAACGACGACGGCTTCTGGAAATCCCTGGCCAGGTCCGATTTGGATTGAAACAGTTACCAAGTGGACAAATTATGCAAAACTCACCTTTTTCATGCTTTTGTGCTGCCATGTGGGCTCTACTGCCTCTATAAACGGTGTAAATGTGGAAAACACAAGTCCATTCTTTTTCTGGCAGTGTTTGGTTTTAGGAAGTATGTGCCTAAAGAAGCTGTTTCAAAAAGTCCCTGTTTGTGATGTCACAAACAGGGAAAGTAGAATGCATCCACCGCTCACTTGCAATAGAACTGCTGCTGGAGGAGCAGCAGCGGCTCTACTCCGATCCCCTCCTGAATATCAGAGCTTCTCAGCTTATAGCAGCCTGAGTGGGGTGTGGGTGGGCGTGGCCAGCTCCTGCTTGTTTTCTCGAAGACACACTCCTGAACTTTCTCTCTGTTGCGCATAAGAGGCAGGTTTACTGGCTGTTTTCCAACTCACGTGCCCAAACAAACACATAAAGTGGCCTTTCAGTATTGAATAAAGTTGAATCGGTTTATAACAACTTTGTACCCGACCAAACACAATAACCTCGGTGAAATCATTTATTACTTACTTATCCATTAGCAGCACGGCTAGGTCAGAGTCCGTAGTACATGCCATTATTTCAAGAAGAGCTCTCCAGCGAGGAAAACCTGGCCCAATATTAACTCTGGTCTTTGCCCTTGCTCTATCGCGTTCTCTTTTTCTTTTCCATGTTTCCTCTGATAAGGGATTTCTAGCTTTCTTTGGCGGATCTGCCATTGCTCAAGTCTAAACCGGGGGTCTATGTGATACTGCTATAAAGCAACACACGGTCAGTACTTCCGGCTGCAAACCGTAGGTCAAAAACTGTATAGTGCTGTAAACAGACGTGGGACCCCATAACGCTGTCACAACTCCAAAAATGAACATGATAGATGGTAGTAAGCCACCAAACCTTAAAAAGAGTAATTTTAAGGTGTAAAAGTTGTGGGACGTGTCTTTAAAGTGACTGAAACGGCTCATTCTGGAAGGTACTGAAACTGTCAGAATATAGTTGCCTCGTGAGAGGGATTAATGTAAAGAATGTCATGAACATATTTTGTATCAACCTTTCAACTATTAGAGCTCTTAAAATGTCTCCTTCAATTTGTGTTTATTGGGATGCATCAGCTGAACCAGCGAGTGGAGCAAACTCTGGTTCCAGTTGTGTTTGTGTTTATTTTTGTTTGAAAAACAGAATGTCACCTTATCGGTTTTATTTTTTGGGACCTTATAGAGGTTTCACAGGTGGAGGGAAAGCAGAGGAGCCAAAGCAGGACAAAGATGATGTGATCAACATCTTCTCAGTGGCCTCGGGGCATCTGTACGAAAGGTTCCTCAGGTGAGAATTTGGATGAACCAGAAATCCTCTAAAACCTCTTCTTTTCTTACCGGTTTATTTATGTTTACTTGTTCTGCTCTCAGGATTATGATGCTCTCGGTGTTGAAGAACACCAAAACTCCTGTGAAGTTCTGGTTCCTGAAGAACTACCTGTCCCCCACTTTCAAGGTCCTGGTGGTTCTTTAGCTCAGATCTCATTCTGGATTTAGACGTGTTCTTCGCTTTTTCTCCATTTCTCATCGTGTCTGACTGTGTGTCCTCCTCATGCAGGAGTTTATCCCCCACATGGCGAAGGAATATGGTTTCCAGTACGAGCTGGTCCAGTACAAGTGGCCCCGCTGGCTGCATCAGCAGACGGAGAAGCAGCGGATCATCTGGGGCTATAAGATCCTCTTCCTGGATGTGCTGTTTCCTCTCGCCGTGGACAAGATCCTGTTTGTGGACGCTGACCAGGTGGACCTTCTATTCATCCTACATCTTTTTAAACTTTTATCCTTTTAACTTTTCTTTCTGTTTGATCTTCTCCAGATTGTGCGGACGGACCTGAAGGATCTGCGGGACTTTGACCTGGAGGGGGCGCCGTACGGTTACACTCCTTTCTGTGAGAGCCGCAGGGAGATGGACGGCTATCGATTCTGGAAGTCGGGGTACTGGGCGAGCCACCTCGCTGGGCGCAAATACCACATCAGGTACTGGAGAAGCTTCAGAGCAGCCGTTTGCTCCAGTTTTCCTGCTCTGATGCTGATGTTGTGTCCGCCTGCAGCGCTTTATATGTAGTGGACCTGAAGAAGTTCAGGAAAATCGCTGCAGGAGACCGGCTCAGGGGGCAGTACCAGGGCCTCAGCCAGGATCCCAACAGCCTGTCCAACCTGGACCAGGTCTGTCAGCAGCTTTAATCAGTTTAGGTCTCAGGGTGTCGGTTATTGATCCACGACTGATCACTTTAAATTCATAGTTAAAGGCATGATCCTCTGACTGGGATTTGTGCTCTTTTCCTTCCAGGATCTCCCCAACAACATGATCCATCAGGTTCCCATAAAGTCTCTGCCTCAGGAGTGGCTGTGGTGTGAGACGTGGTGTGACGACAGCTCCAAGAAGAGCGCCAAGACCATAGATTTGGTAACGAGATTTCTTTGTGTTTGTTGGTCTAAAACAAAAAATATCCACGCGATATTAACAGGGTCCTTAAAAAGTATTAAAAGTTGAATATTTAGACCAGTGAAGTGTTTAAAAAGTCTTGAATTTTGTTATTATTGACGAAAATAAACATATAGACTAATAAGAATAAACACATTTTTCTATGGTAGCTGTTGGCTTACGTCTACCTCACTACAGACGTGATGCCCCAGCGGTATGAGGAAAGGTAGATTTGCAGATTTTTGGCAGAACTTGTCTTAAAGGATAGCATAATGTTAGTGTTTTATTTACGTTGGTAAAAGTTTTAATAGCAACTGCCTTCTGTTTGGATCACAACTGTTTATTAGTTAAAGGTGCTTGGTGACATACTTTTAGATCCCTGCAAATGCAGCTTGTTGTTCTCCTCTGAGCCACTAGAGGGCAGACATGTTCAGTGTGATTTTTCCACATGATGTAGAGTTACAGGAGAACAATACTCACATTCTGAGATTATTTCTCCTCCTGGCAACAATAATCAACAATATTATGAACAAATAAATAAAACAGAGGTTTTGTGATGACTTGGCTGTACTTCGGCAGCTTACATCCACCATAATGTTGATCAAAAGTGACGTTAAACCTGCCAATAAGTCATCTGTTTCATGTCACTTTTATATCAAACCACCGGTTCTTAAATTTGTTCAGTAGCTGCCAAATGTGACACAAATCTAAAAGATGAACGTTGTTAATAATGGTGACCTGTAATGTGACCCCAGTGCAACAACCCGATGACCAAGGAGCCCAAGCTGCAGGCTGCTGTGAGGATTGTAGCTGAGTGGGCGGACTACGACCAGGAGATAAAACGCTTGCAGACACGAGTCCAGGGGGGGGCCACCAACACGACGGGGCAGCAGGACACAGGTTCATGTCAGCTGAAACACACACACACACACACTCTTCCTGTGCTCCTCACTGATGTCTTTGTCCCTTTCCCAGATGTCCACTCAGAGTTGTGAGGACGGCCGTGACGAGCTGGACTCTGTTTAAAGAGTCCGCTTCACCAGAGACACTGACCCCAGACCAGCACAACCTGGTTCAAACTGTTTACTTCTTGTGTTCATGTGGGGGTGGGGTGGGGGGTGTACAAGCAGCAAGAATGTACTTAGTGGTGAAAATATTTTTATTTTTCCTGTTTGCACTGATTCTGGTTGTGACTGTGGTCCAAGCACAAATACGAGGAAGTCGATCGTGTGGAGGACACAATCACATCAAAGGAAACGGGAGTGGGTTACAACAGGGTGCAGGTCGGGTTTAGGGAGTGTTTTACAGGCCAAAGGGAACCGTTGGAAGAATTGGGTTTAATTTTGGGGTTTACGTTCTGATCTATTCCTTCAGATGGAATAAAAGAATAAATACAAAGTAAAAAGAACCCACGTGTTGCTTTGTTGTATCAGTTTCCTGTTTAAACCACGCCGTGTTACTGGAAGCTTTCAGGCTTTTATTGTGATTCATTTGAAAAAAGGTTTTACAAAAGGTAACATTCAATTTTTACACCAATTCTTTAAAAAAAATTACTTAAAATAAGGTTTCGATACAACAAAATTCATCTAGCTAAGTAATGGCTTCTATAAACAAGGTGAACATAAGATAATATACATGTAAATGAACGCTACAAACACAGGAAAGGTTACATTAAATAAAAAAATAAAGCAATGACATGATTGTTTTCCTTTTGAACGCCACCGGACCAGAACCACCAGCAAAGCAGTTATTGCAAAACTCATTCCAGCTGGTTTGGTGTAACTGGAACGGGAGGCGACAAGGTGGCGTTAGTGTGTTCTCTGCTTCAGATGGATCTCCTAGGCAACCGCCGACAACTTTACATCACGTGGCTCTGGTCGGAACAACATTCAGGTTAGCAAAGACACAAAACGGGAATAAAAGGTAAAATTACGAGTGTAATTGTTTAAGGTGAGGTCACGGTAAGGTCAGCAGTCACTGCCTTCAGCACAAAGACTGGAACAGGAAACAAAGCCAGTCTCCGTGCTGAGCTAAGAAGCTGCTGCTCAACTAAAGTTTAAAAACATTGGAATATTCCTTTAAAAACAATGATGGCAGCAGCAGTGCAACAGTTAATCGTGTGTGTGTGTGTGTGTGTGTGTGTGTGTGTGGGGCGCAGAACCCCACAAACGTTCATCTCAGTCACCTGCAAAGCTCCAAAACAGCAAAACTCATGCACCTCCAGCATTTTATACAAGAGTATGATACAAAGTAAGGCATTTCTCCGTGTTCAGTATTCATGTCGAGTGTTAATTCATGTTTTTTTATCTCGTGTGTTTACGCGTGTACATAGCAACCACATTTTAATGTTATTTCTTTTGCCCCTATAAAAAGACTGCAAAAAACAAAGAAAGTCAAGGTAACTCTCACTTAAAATATATATATTTGTCATATATATTTACGTATATATCCATATGTTTAAAAAAAGAAGATAAAAGAAAAGCTCAAGAGATCTCTGATTGGCCAGTTCTCAGAAATCCTCTTTCATTCCAAAACCTCGCTGGGCGCCACGGCGACCAGCTGCAGAGGGATCTCCTGATTGGCTACGAGGTCATGGCCGGTCGTCTGGAGGATGAGCGTGGTTCCGTCTGTGGTGATGATGGCGTCGCTGGTGGGCGGGGATGTGGACGAGGGGGCGTTGCCCTTTTTGTTCTGATGAGTCTTTATGTGCTTGGCCAGGTGGTCGCTGCGCATGAACCTCTTGGAGCACTCGGAGCACACAAACTTCTTCTCTCCTGAACACAAACACAGACGTCAGCGTGTTTAAAAACCGAACAGCTGAAGACTAGTGAACACTGACGTGGCCGTAAACACGTCAGGTTTGTTTAGGCTTTTCCTGAACAGCAAAAAGCTGCAAAACAGGTTGGTTACACCTCCTCGGAACGCTTCTCGTAGCCCTGATGTGCTTTAACTTCCAGATGTTCCTCCCTGTAACTGGTGGCTTTTTCCCATTTTCTTCATTGAAATTGGATTTTTTTTTTTTTTTTTTGCTTTCCTTGGAAACTTGTCAACTTATCCCAGATTTTTCTAGGAAACTACAATTCTAGTTATCTGAATTACTGAATAACTTCTCTGAATCACTTCTTTGGCACTTAACACCAACCCTTCGTCACCAATGGGACAATAAAAGACCTTCTGCTGTGAGACTGATGCCATCTTGTGTTGTACAGAGGTGTAGTGTGCTGTTGCGACCACTAGAGGGCAACACAAACACCCACCTACAAACAAAACAGATTTTCTTTTCTGAGAAAAACCACCACAAATAATTAATTCTAGTGTTTTTGTTTTCTTCCTATTCTGTTAATAAAGTCAATTAAAGCCCAATTCTGTTTATATTCATGCACACGTCCAACTTTTCTACAGAGTTAAATCCACTTCTGGCCCTTCAGCAGGACAGCGCCGAGTCTCCTCACCCGTGTGTGTCCTCCTGTGTCTCTGCAGCTCGTCACTCCTGGTGAATCTCTTCCCGCAGTACATCCAGTTACAGACGAAGGGTCTCTCGCCGCTGTGCCAGCGCAGGTGAGCCCGCAGGTGGGATGTCTTCCCGTAGACCTTCCCACAGCCAATGATGTGGCAGATGTGCTGCTTCTTCTTGCCCAAGCCCGACCCTCTGAGGCAAGGAGAAAAAGATGAGCTGTGTGTGTGTGTGTGTGTGTGTGTGTGTGTGTGTGTGTGTGTGTGTGTGTGAAAAGCCCACCTTCCTCCTGACTCCTTGCAGTTGGGGCAGGTGCAGGCCACTCTGCGGAGCCTCTTGCCCTCCCCCATTGAGGAATCCATGTCCTCGTCTCCCAGCTGAACTCGCAGGTTGTTCAGGTCGCTGGGATTGAGCGTGGAGTCTCCGCTAAGTTGCCACTCCTCTGAGTCAGGCTCTTCCTTTATCTGAATACCTGAACCAGGACAGAGAAGCAGAAGATGTCTGTCGGTAAGCCAGGAGTTCATTTTCGAACCATTTAAAATTTACTCATAACAAAAGTGTGCGGCTGTACCAGCTGGACTCGCCGTCTCATCTCCCTGCATGAACTGAACTCCAGTTTGTGTTACAGAGTTAACGGTGACCGTCTGGAGGTTGGGTAAGCTGACCTGACCTGTCTGGCCCAAGGGGAGGGTCTGGACTGGAGCTAGGGTCAGCTGCTGGGCCTGACCCTGTCCCTGGGGAAGCTGGAGCCCCTGGAGTGACTGGACACCCTGAACCTGAAAGGATTTAAATGAGAGTTATTTTACCGAGCTGCTCCTTTAGTCGCTCACTGCTTTTGAAACACAACAGTACCTGGAAGGTCTGCCACTGGATCTGTCCAGTGGCGGTGACCGTCTGCGCCTGGATGAGGAAGGTACCTGGGTTGACCAGCTGAACGCTCTGTAGGGTCTGACCTGCTGCTGTCAGGTCCTGACCCTGAGCCACCTGGGTCTGGCTGTCCCCAGCCAGCTGCAGGATGGGCTGGGAGATGGTGCTGGCGTTGGAGGACGGCACCTAAACAAGAAACCATGAAAAACGTGTTCATGCCCACAAAGGTTTAACATTTTACTTTGAGTGGTTTAAAACTTCAGACACAAAACCGCAGATCAAACAAGAATTATTTCAACTTTCCAGAGTTTTATTTGTATAAAATCTAAAAATGCTAAAAACAATGAATCAGACACCCGGTGTAATTATTTAAACTACTGTGACCAAATTCATCTCAACCAAACTTGCCCCTAAAACAAAAGACACGTGCTGACCTGGATTTGCTGCAGGTGGTTGTGGGAGTTGAAGTTCTCTGATGAAGGGTCGGACATGCCCGCAGATACAGCTGTAGCCTGGGTCAGAACCCCGGTGCCGTCGATCGTTTCTGGGAGCTGAACGGAGTTGGAGGAGGTGGTTGGCACGTAGAGCTCCTGGTTGGTGCCGGGGTTGCTCACCGTCACTGTCAGCGGCTGCTTGGCGCCACCGTCCTGACCCTGATTCTCCAGCGTCTGGCCACTCATGATAAGCTGACCATCGGGTGTTACCCCTGTTGCTATGGGAACCGCTTGAGCACCGGTCAGCCCCAGCGACTCCAGATCCACACTGTTAATAGGGACGAACGTTATGTTGCTGGGGAGCCCAACAGGTACGGTGCCAGTATATGCCGAGCTGCCAGTCAACGGCACGCCTTGGATCGACTGCACTTGACCCGCCTGCGTGAGCAGGTCTGTGGGCGCCGTCGTGGTGCAGCTGATGCCGATACTGCCTTGACCGCCGTCTTGGAGAAGCTGAATCTGACCAGTACCGTCATCCAGCCCCTGAGTTGAGAATCCAGCGAGCGTCACGTCTGCATTTTGGATTTGGGGGATGACCTGGAAGGACAAGTTGTAAGCATCGTAATCCCATGAACAAAAGTCCCCGTCACGTCCTTAACGTGTTTGATCGTCTTTACCTGGTACTGAATTCCTGACACTCCATTAGCAGCAGCATCGCCCGCTGATGCTGTGACATAAATGGGCTGGCTGGAAAGACTACCAATCGGAAGCACGTACTGCCCATTGGAAGTGACGATCCCAGAGTTTGGAATGTGGACGACGCCTTGATCCTCCTTCCCAGCTGAGACTGGAGTTAGCACTTCCCATCGGTCTGAACCCGTCAGCTGGATGGCTGACATGTCAGTTGTCTGAGGTCACAATCAACAATCAACACAACTTGGCGCTATATCAGAATCAATCACACACAGAGAGTTAGCACTAGACGTATTTATACAAGAGAATATGCAGAAGTGGTTGTGATTGAGACAATTGGTCAGTCACGGCAAGGCAAGGAGCCATTACAACAGAGAGTCAAGATAACAGGCTCAGAAATGGTGGAGAAGCTGAGGGTGGGGGATGGGTGGCTATAACAACACCACTGTTATGATTATGGACGCCACTCCAGCTGCATTTCTACATCCCTGCTGCTTCCAGAGCCAAGGTGCATCGGCTGTCTCCCAGCGAGCCGACCCAAGTGACTGACTCCAGCGTCCTACCCACTATGGGCGGGTTTTACAGGGGTAAAGTGGGTGGCCGTTATTGAGGGGAACACAGGAAGTGTACGGCTTTCACCCCTTGCTATCAAATTTTTAAACGTGTCAACTTCATGCTCTCAAATACACAGCAAGAAATCGTTAGCAAGCGAGCTGGAAAAGTGCTGGGATACCTGTGTTTCAGCCGCGCCGCCGGCTTGCAGAAACTCGCTTTGACTGCTGTCCACGTCTGCGGACGCCATTTCTCCTTGTTTCAGAGGCTGCTCTGGCGCTAGCAGGGAGAGAGGGGAAAACTGAGCAAAACTCTGTGATCTTCAACTCCTGCCAGCCAGAAAAGCTCGCAAAGCATCCCAACTCTCCAGTCCAATAAATGAGGGGGCTGACCGCGAAATTCAACTTTGCAGCGAAGATTCTGGGGAGATTTCGGCCCAGATCGACAGTTTACTTTGTCAACTCTGAGGCTAGCTCGGTTAGCTAACCATTTCTAGCTAGTTAGCAACGGAGCTAACGATAAAAAGACGCAGCTCGCTTCGCAGCGGCTCCCACAAACTCACCGATTAAATGCAGCTTCGACGCGCCAAATGTTTACGTACCAGTCATAGCGTGAATGGAAGTGAGCGGAATATTACCACATCAACTAAACTCCGAACATGATTATTTTATCAAAGGCGGGCTAGTGTTGATCGGTGAATTCGGGTCGATTTTTTTTTCTATTTTGATTGACGGTGCGGGAAACACAAAAAGGTGGGACTAACAGCCTTGACTGTCGAATTTGCATCACATTACAGGACGTCCCGCCTTTCTTCTCTAATGCTATTGGCTAAACTGAGGTTTACCTGAAATCTGATTGGAAGACTGAGATGTCAGTCACGTTTTTTAGGACCTGTGTTTCCTGTTTGTTGAGCGAATCCAGAGATGGAATGCAGTTGATGAAATCAGACGATACTTTTATAACGTGATGTTTTCTTTTTTACCTCTTTCAGCAAATATTAATCCACATGACCGAGCTTTTATTTGTTTAACCGGTTTTGATTAATTTCTTTTCGGTGAGTCAGTTTTTAAAGTTTAAATACTGTTCACTGTAAACAGGGCTGCCAACTTAAGGAAAGTCTTGGAGTAAGGTTTTTTTTATTTAAATTTTTATTTGTGTGTGTGTGGTGGAGTTAACAAAACAATTTGTTTTCAAAAAGAAGTATGAGTATGTTTTGTAATAAATATTTAAAATAAAATCTTGCTTTTTTCGTAAGTTTAATTAAAATTTCCTTTTTTTGGTCAAATTTAATACATTGTTTTGTGAATTTAAATTGAGTGTAAAACTACTTTATCGATCCAAGAGATTAAATGTAACTAATATAATTCAGAAATAATAAACATATTCTCTACTTATTTAATAGCGATCTTTCCAAAAGAAAAAGACAAAGCAAAAACAAACTGTTCTCCTTTTATTGACACGTGCATCTTTAAGGGTAACACTTGCTAATGTTGTTCCCTCCATTAAAACATTTAGATGTTGGTGCACACCGAGCCGAAAAGTCTGCCGAGATGAGTGGATAAAGATGTTTACATCGTGGATGCTGGGACAAGCCGATACTGCTCTTCTTGTTGCTCAACAGTCCAAATGATCCACAATAAAGCGTTGCCTCATTACGCATGTGAGGGCTCCTTTTTTGTTAACCTTTCCAGAGGAAGTGGATAAAAGCAGCTAATATGAATTCAGTCCAGGTGTTTGATATGGCAGTCAGCACCGCCTGGGTGGTCCAAGCTCACAGCCTGGTCCTGCACTGAGTGACGGCTTTCGTATTCCTTTGATTTGTAACGAGTCAATGAATCCTTTTATTCAGAGCAGTCTTGTTTCTGTAACCAAGCCGGGAATCCAATCAGAGAAAAGGGGGAGAAAACCAGCAAAAGAACGCTTTCTCGCCTTCATTTTACCACTTTTAGTCCTCAAAACCAATGAAAACAGCTTAGATTTTTTTTTTCAATTTTAAAACAAACAGCAGCAGCATTATTGCCAATAAAAATGCATTTTGTTGCGTTTTTCCAATATTATTCACTTGAGCTGCATCCTTTAGTCCCCTTTAACAAATAATTGAGCACAGTGATCCTTTCATTAAAAGTGATGCAACTAAAATCTGAAGAGCTGTGGAGTTTATTCTCCAAGTTCAAAAGAAAACATGAAAACCAGCAGACAGTGCAGCTCTTTTGGGCCCCAGTAAAACTCCGATCCTCCCTGGCGACGACCACCTGGCCCCGTTATTTCTTTTTGGGTGCATTGGGCGTGTTGAATTTGAAAAAGATAATGTCACCATCCTCCACGATGTAGTTCCTGCCCTGTTGCCTGTACTTTCCAGCTGCCTGAGAAGAAGCAGAACAAATGTTCCTCAGAATCCAAACGACCTCCAGCAGAAGCGTAGCTGTGCATAAGCTCACCTTGACGGCACTTTCACTGCCCTCCTCCTTAAAGTCATTGTACTTCATCACCTCAGCCATGATGAAGCCTTTCTCGAAGTCGGTGTGGATCTTTCCTGCAGCCTGAGGAGCTTTGGAACCTTTCTGTTGGTGCAACAAGACCTTAAATAACATCTAAAACAACCTTAACACCACGTTTATGTAAAACGAGTGATGATCACTCACCCTGATGGTCCACGCTCGCACCTCATCTGGTCCAGCTGTGAAGAAGTATTCCAGCTGTAGGGCTGCGTAGCCGGTTTTTATTATTTTGGTCAGAACACTAAATCAGACAAAAAAGAAAAACATACATACTGTGGTAAAAATGCCAAACTGTAGTAACTATTATAAAACATTTGTCTTTTGGGTAGTTTGGGTTCATAAATATGATGATTAACTGCCTTTGTTCTCTTGATTAATTAGAAAATCTTTGCTTTTAAACCCATTAAAGCGACCAACCTCTGCGTTTTCTGCTCCTCGCAGTATTTATTTCGATCCTCCTCCTCCATGTCCACCAGCTTCAGCTCCAGAGCGCCGCTCAGCGGAATGACCACAGCACCGGGATCGTGAGCGTCTACCCACTCTTTGATTTTTGCCAACCTGAAAAAAAATAAAAAACTGTTGGAAATTTGTTTTCCGTGATCGTTTCAGAAACTAGAAGAGAACGAGTAGACGAAGCAAACACACCATTTGTTCTTTTTCCTGATGTAATCCTTCTCTGAGAGATTCACCAGGTAGATCATGGGCTTGGACGTCAGGAACAGGTGTCTGTTCAGCACCTCGATCTGCAGAGAGCGTTCATTTGCTGTTAGAAACGCTCAAAGCCTCACCGATCACACACAAACGCGTCGCTACCTCTTTGTCGTTCCAGTCGTGGTAAAATCGGACGTGCTTCTTCTCCTCCACCACCCAGTTTTTCACCTTCATCATGATATCCTGAAGGAACAAGCAGCACATCAGCCTCTCCAATCAAAATCAGAACACCCAACGTGTTGCCATGGCAACGTGTCCTTACATATTCAGGCTTAAGTTTTTTGTCTCCTCCTCTGACAGCAGTTTTCTCCAGTTTGTCGATGATGGGATCGATCATCTCCACGTCCTTTAGCCGCAGCTCCTCGTGGATGATCTCGATGTCCCTCACCGGGTCAACATTGCCCTCCACGTGGATGATGTCCTCATCATCAAACGCACCTCAAAAAACACAAAGAACAATTTACAGAAACTGAACTAAAATTATCTCGACTGTTCAGACGCAACTCACGAGTCATGTGGAAGATGGCGTCGCAGGCATTGATGTTTGAGAGGAAGGCGTTTCCCAGTCCTTGTCCTGAGTGAGCTCCCTTCACCAGACCAGCAATGTCCACAACGTTTAGGAAAGCAGGAACCTTACTGAGAATAAACAAACAGTTGGATCAATGGGTTGATGGGTGCTGAGTGACACACACACAGGCAAATACACACCTGGCTGGCTTGTGGTACTGGCACAGGAAGTCGAAGCGCTCATCGGGCACGGGCACCCTGCTCTCGTTTGGCTCGATGGTGCAGAAAGGGAAGTTTTCAGCTGAAGCTTGGCTTTTGGTCAGCACGTTGAAGAAGGTGGATTTCCTGCAACAGGCAACACAGCAGCAGTCAGACCCAGATGTTCAGCTGAATGACGTTTACTCATCAGCGCTGCATGTGTGACGTCAGTACCCAACGTTAGGCAGTCCCACAATGCCGATTTTCAGAGCTGTTCCGAATCGTCCTATTAAAGCAGGAGGCTTCGGAGCGTCTGTCTTCTTTGGAGGCATCTGTGAGTCAGAACATGGCGGTGACATAATCACGCGTTTAAACTTGCTGCTAGAGCCTGAAGCAGCCTCACTCATGTGCTCATTCAAACATACAGCATGTTAGCATTAGCTGGTGGCTAACTGGAAACACCCATATTATCCGACACAAAACATTCCTTAGTCAACAGTCCTGTTCACAACTTCCTCTGATTAAAGCTGCACCGGAAGTTGAGGACGTAACAAAAAACACACTTTCTACCTTGAAAGGCTTATCTTCAGGCTACGTGGTGTCAGCGCCTCTGCTCTCAGCAGCCACTCCGGTGGAAAGGCAGGTTGGAAAGCAAACCGGAAGTGTTTGGACCTAAACTGTCTCTCATTGGTCAGTTGGGCACGTCACGTGACAGACGCATCAACCACACTTTTTTTATATATAAATGGCTCTCAGGCGTAAACAAATACTTTTCTGTGAAATTTGAAAACACACACACACACCTTTTACAGAAAGAAAATCACAAAGTGCCTCACAAAGAAAACATCAACAAAAACAAATTAAGATAATTTAAACGAAAAAGATCATAAAACAAATGAAAAACTACACAGGATTCAAACAAGGCATTTTAAATCAAAGGGCCTTTAGCTGCTTTATAAAGGTGTTCACACTGTCGACGCCACGCAAGAATAAAGGATGTTCATCCCAGAGTTTACTTTAATTTTTGTATCTGATCTCTGGAACTTCCAGAGCAGCAGCCGCGCAGGAGGTAAAGCGAGTCGTCCAGTAATCAGAGGGTAGCCATATTGATCCCAGCTCCCTGTATTGGAATTCTACTGTTGTTTTTGGGCAAGACACTTTAGTCTTTGCCTGGTAGTGGTAACCAGTGGTGCCTGCTATGGAGGCCTTGCAGGGGCAGACAGGGACAGTAATTCTGCCCTGGAACCTCCCTTCTGAACATGACCCCAGACTTTCCCCCTGAGATCAGTGGACTTGGTGGTCTCCTTTAAAAAGCAGCTGAAAAAGCATCTTCTTCGCAAGCTTCTTTTCACGCTGTTGTCTCTGCATTTTCAGATTCCTGTTTTCTTCATATTTCTTTCTCCCTTTATTCTCTTAATTTTTGTGATTTTTTTTATCAAAAAATCCTTTCTTCTATCAGAATAAAGCTCAATATATAAAACAGCCAACTGGTACATCCACATCCACAGTAATAAATGAAACCAGACAGAAGTCGGCAGATATATTCAATTTTTTTCTATATTGGCCGAAATTAGTTTAAAAGCCATTCCAAAAATAAATTAAACAGGCACCTGTGTGGCCAACTGCTGCCACTACTAGACTGAAAAAAAGGGCCCCAACACACCATTTTTTGTTTTGAGTTTGTTTTATATTTGAAGTTCAATACTCGAGTGGTGTTTCGTTATTGGACTTCTGTACAAGCCGCAGTTTGGCCATAACGAACACCATGTTCGAACATAAAGATGCCTATCGGTACACTTGGTACCAGGGCAGCCTAGGTCGCAGGTCGATGATAGACTTTGTAGTCGTATCATCTGACTTGCGGCCGTATGTTTTGGACACCCAAGTGAAGAGAGGAGCGGAGCTGTCAACTGATCACCACCTGGTGGTGAGTTGGATCAGATGGCAGGGGAAGATGCCGTGCAGACCTGGCAGACCCAAACACATAGTGAGGGTCTGCTGGGAACGCTTGGCAGAAGAACCTGTCAAGACGGTCTTCAACTCCCACCTCTGGCAGAGCTTTGACCGCGTCCCGAGAGCAATGGGGGACATCCACTCCGAGTGGGCCTTGTTCCACTCTGCAATTGTTGAGGCGGCTGTTGCTACCTGTGGTCACAAGGTGGCCGGTGCCAGTAGTGGTGACAACCCCCGTACCCGCTGATGGACACCAGAGGTTCGGGGAGCCGTCAGGCTGAAGGAGGCCTACAGGGCGTGGCTGGTCTGTGGGTCTCCGGAGGCAGCAGAAGGGTACCAGATAGCCGAGCGGGGTGCAGCAGTGGCAGTTGCCGAGGCAAAATCTCGGGCGTGGGAGGAGTTTGGTGATGCCATGGAGAAAGACTATCGATTGGCGCCAAAGAGGTTCTGGCAAACTGTCCGGCGTCTCAGGAGAGGGAGGCAGCAACTTGCTCACACTGTTTACAGTGGGGATGGGGAGCTGCTGACGTCAACTGGGGCTATAGTCGGGCTGCGGAAGGAATACTTTGAGGAGCTCCTCATTCCCACCTATGCGCATTCCGAGGAGCCAGAGCCGGGAGACCTGGGGATGGACTGTCCAATCTCTGGGGCAGAAATTGCTGAGATAGTCAAACAACTACACAGCGTCGGAGCCCTGGGGGTGGATGAGATTCGTCCTGGGTATATCAAGGCTATGGATGTGGTAGGGCTGTCGTGGCTGACATGTCTCCGCAACATTGCATGGTCATCGGGGGCAGTTCCTGTGGAGTGGCAGACTGGGGTGGTGGTCCCCATCTTTAAGAAGGGTGACCGGAGGGTGTGTTCCAACTATAGGGGGATCACACTCCTCAGCCTCCCTGGAAAGGTCTACTCCAAGGTACTGGAGAGGAGGGTCCGATCTATAGTTGAATCTCAGATTGAGGAGGAGCAATGTGGTTTTCGTCCTGGCCGTGGAACTGTGGACCAGCTCTATACCCTTGCAAGGGTGATGGAAGGGGCATGGGAGTTTGCCCAACCAATCCACATGTGTTTTGTGGATTTGGAGAAGGTTTATGACCGTGTCCCTGGGGGCACCCTGTGGGGGACGCTCCAGGAGTATGGGGTGGGTGGCTTTTTGTTAAGGGACATTCAGTCCCTTTACCAGAGAAGCATGAGTTTGGTCCGCATAGCTGGTAGTAAGTCGGACCTGTTCCCGGTGAGGGTTGGACTCCGCCAGGGCTGCCCTTTGTCACCGGTTCTGTTCATAACCTTTTTGGACAGAATTTCTAGGAGCAGCCGTGGTGTGGAGTGTGTCGAGTTTGGTGGCAGGAGAATCTCGTCTCTGCTTTTTGCGGATGATGTGGTCCTCCTAGCTTCATCCAGCTCTGACCTTCAGCTCTTGCTGGGTAGGTTCGCGGCCGGGATGAGAATCAGCACCTCCAAATCTGAGACCATGGTTCTCGACTGGGAAAGGGTGGCTTGCCAGCTCCGGGTCGGGAGAGAGGTCCTACCTCAAGTAGAGGAGTTTAAGTATCTTGGGGTCTTGTTCATGACTGAGGGTAGGAGGGATCGGGAGATCAACAGGCGGATTGGTTTGGCGTCTGCAGTGATGCTGAGCCGATCTGTCGTGGTGAAGAGGGAGCTGAGCAGAAAGCCAGGCTCTCGATTTACCGGTCGATCTACGTCCCAATCCTCACCTATGGTCATGAGCTTTGGGTAATGACCGAAAGAACGAGATCGCGAATACAAGCGGCCGAAATGAGTTTCCTCTGTAGGGTGGCCGGGCTCAGCCTTAGAGATAGGGTGAGGAGCTCGGACATTTGGGAGGGACTCAACCACTGCTCAACTGGATTGAAAGGAGTCAGTTGAGGTGGTTTGGGCATCTGGTCAGGATCCCTCCTGGACGCCTCCCTGAGGAGATTTTTCGGGCATGTCCTGCTGGCCAGGAGGCCCCCAGGTCGACCCAGGACACGTTGGAGAGGTTACATCTCCAATCTGGTCCGGTAACGCCTTGGGGTCCTGTCGGAGGAACTGGTGGAGGTGGCTGGGGAGAGGATGGTCTGGAGCTCCCTAGTTGGGATGCTGCCCCCGCGACCCGGATAAGCTGAGGAAGACGACGACGAAGTTCAGTATAGAGATTGACGTATTTTATACTGCACTGAGTGTTCAGTTGTCTTTCACCATCAATGTGCTGCGAAAAACATATATAGACCTTAATAATCTGTTTTAGATATCGAGAACAAAATTCTTTAAAAATTGGCATTGGCCTTAAAAATAAAATCCATATTTGTCGGCCTCTCAAACAGAATTAACTGTTTAGACCTGAATGCACTATCTGCACCTGTGAACTGAAGAGACTGGAAATAAATGACAGCAAATGACCCCAAGAACGTTTATTCCTTATTTACAACCAACAAAAAGGTAGTACCTACCAGGCAAAAAAAAAAAAAAAAAAAAAAAAAACTAAACTAAAAAAAAAACTTTAAAATATTCCAAAAATTAAACAACGCCCATGACAGTTGGAGGTCACATACACACAAAGATGAAAACTACACATGTTGGGAAACTAGTTTAGATTAAACTTTAGACAGTGATAAATGATTTTTTTATGCTACTTCCCGTCTAATTTTCACCGACAGTTTCATTTAAGTGATGAGCATTAAGCACACATCAGCTCTGTTCCCAAGTCTTCCATCAAACTTGCACACTAACTTTTTTTATTTTAAACATGTCACTTTAAAAACATGGATATATCAAGAAGTCCTGTTCACATGTGAGCAGGTCAAAACAAAGAATCAAGCTTCTGAAAAGTAACACTGATGTGGACTCCATCTTTGTTACTCAGTAGTGACCTGTAACATAAAAAAATAAGAATTAGAATGGGCTTAGAAGCGTTATTATAACTTACGTATTTGACACGATGGAAACGTACGTGGTGAGTAGGAGCGAGACCGAGAGCGGTAACCTCTGCTGTAGTACGGGGACGGAGATCTGCGTCTGTAAATTCAAGATCCAACACTTGCATCATTGGTTCTTTCTTCAAAAACAAAGAATTAAAACTAGGACTGAACGATTAATTGCAAATGCAATAAATTGCGATATGAAAAAATGAGATTTTCAAACCGCAAAGGCTGCGATTTTACCTTCTTACCAGTAGGCAGCGGTAATGCACCCAAGGCTTGATTGTCAACCACCATTAAACACCAACAAAGGAAGAGGAAACTAAGTCACGTGACTTGTGAGCGGCTCAAACCAGGCAGAGAAAGTAGAACCCCAATAATGGTGTCAGGATCGACAGAATGTAGTGGTGCACAGTTGAATACCAAAGAGGAATAGTATGTCAATTGTGTGGAATTATTTTGGATTTAAAAAAGATGCTGTGCAACGTCACGTATTGTGCAGAACCTGCCTTACTACCGTTGCTACCTCACAAGGCAACTACAAACCTTTTCCAACACCTGAAAAACCACCACACGACCATATATGAGAGCTGCATGGCTAAAATGCCAGCTACCAGTGCTTCAACTGCATCTTCAGGCAGACAGGGATCGCTGACTGAAGTATTTGAAAGCATCACTCCCTACGAACTCAATTCGAAGTGGCACGCAGTCATAACTCGTGCTATAACGGAGTTTATAGCTAAAGATATGATGCCCGTCAACATAGTGACCAAGCCTAGGTTCACGTCTTTGATTAGCACAATCGATAAGCGATACATGATGCCATCACGCACACATTTTAGCCAGATAGCCATACCTGAGCCATATAAAAAATGCCGACAGAAAGTTGCAGCAGAGCTGAAAACAGTGGAGTTTTTTGCAACTACAACTGACCTGTGGTCCAGCCGCACAGCGGAGCCATACCAGAGTCTGACAGCGCATTACATCGACGAAGACTTAAATCTCAGAGCTCGTTGCCTTCAGGCATCATACTTCCCGGATGACCACATGGGAGAAAGCGTTGCAGCCGGCCTAAAAGAGGGGATTGCCAGCTGGGACCTACTCGAAGAAAACCTTGTTTGCATAACGACGGACGACGCATCGAACATGGTGATGGCAGCCCAGCTAAAAGAATGGACAAGACTCCAATGCTTTGGGCACCGATTACATCTTGCTATTGGTACGTAAATTAGTATTTTGTTATCATTTATGATTTGTATGTGGATGTGTGCACAGAAACAGATGTGTGTGTGTATGTGAAAGAGAATGAATAAGAGAATGTGTGTGTGTGTGTGTATGTGAAAGAGAATGAATAACAGGATAATGTGTTTTTTATCCTAAATTGATGACTTTCTATCCTATCATTCTGATATTCAAATTAACGAATACAATATTTTAAAGGGAATTTAACTTCGTATACTTGAATCTTATCAAATGACTTTATTTTTGAAGTTGTGGTTTAAATCCACTTTTTAGTAATAGTCAATGAGTATTCTCAGCTTATTTTACTTTTAAAGAGATTTAAACGTTTATTTCTCAGGAGTGTTTTTTAGAATTAAAAAAACATTAAAATTTATGTTGTATTATTTTGTGTTACAGAAAATGCACTCAAAGATGACAGTATCAAGAGCTGTAGGGCTGTGCAAGAAGGTGGTGGGGCACTTCTCTCACAGTTGGAAGAAGAAGGCAGCAATGACTGAAGCCCAGGAGCTCGAACTTCCTGAACACAGCCTCATGGGGGTCCAAGGAAAAGACGATTGCCAGGGTGCTAGAGCAGGTCAAAGCCATATCTCAGGTATTGCTGGTGACCGTTATGCATGCTCCCTCATCCCAACCTGGCAGGATATTGACGTGTTGGAGTCTGTCCACAAAGCACTGCACCCACTACAGGACTTTACTGATGCTCTCTCTGGAGAGAAGTATGTAAGCGTCTCCTATCTCACACCAGTTCTTCACCTTCTGGCAACATCAGTCTTGGCAGAAGATCAAGAGGACACTGACTTGACCAGGTCAATCAAAACAAAGATCCTGGAATACCTAAATGACAAGTACAAGGACCCCTGCACCCAGGAGTTTTTGGATGTTGCATCCTTCCTGGACCACAGGTTCAAAACCCAGTATATTACTGCAGACAACATTCCTACCATTAGGACCCAAATCAAGATTGACATGATGGAATTAGCAAGGCGTGCACAAACCCAGGTCAGTAATAATTTTTCTGTGATATCACTAAAACACTGCATCATCTGACTTCTTCACTAATTGCATTTTTTATCTGGTAGGAGAAGAGGTCTCGCACAGAAACAACTCCCAGGCCTGAAAGTGCACAGCACTCTGACAAAAAGATGAAAAAGTCTCTCAGCAGCTTCTTCAAGACCACTGTGGGCCCTCGTGCTACTACCCCGCAATTTGAAGATGTTGTTGAGGCTGAGTTAAATGTCTACCTCATGACTCCTGCCATTGATGGAGAGGATGACCCGCTGAAATAGTGGAAAGTGCACAAGATCGACTTTCCACGACTCTGCGATATGGTCCACAAGTACCTCTGCATCCCTGCCATAAGTGCTCCCTCAGAGCATCTTTTTAGAGCTGAGGGGAATAATGTGACGTGCACACGCTCTTCTTTAAAACCAGCAAAAGTTGACATGCTAGTTTTCCTAGCAAAAAAAAAATCTGTGTCAGGTTTTGGAAAGATTTTTTTCTGGCTTACATTGCCATGCCTAATTTGAACTCTAGTTTGTTGTGTGCTGCTGTTACTGAGTGCATGTATTATCAAGAAACGTGTTGCTTCTTTAGGTTTAATAAGAAGTTAAGAACTGGTGAAACATGTGAGCAACTGAAACTCTGATTTGCCAAAACGGGGAAAAAAATTCTCCAGCTCTTTAAGCACTTTTTTTTCTCCTAAATTCTCCTGCACTTTACAGTAAGTTGAGTTAATAACTGGAAATCAGTAATTTTTTATAGGTGTAGTACACCTATAAAAAATTACTAATGAAGGTAAAGTACACATTCTGTACTTTTCCTTCATTTATTTATTTATGGACTGACCACTCAAGTTTTGACAGTGTTAAAAAAATGCAGCACCATTGTTTACATATCGTGTGTCAACAAACATGGGAAGTTAAATATTGAAGTGGTAAAGCCTCAGGAGGAGTTTGCATTACTGTTGTCATCTGCACTTTAGTAATTGTGTTTTACTACTTATTTGCACCTGTTTAGCCAAATACATAGGTACTTTGTTATTGTGAATGCACACAAGACTGCAAGTCAAAGTTTTTTGTAAATTTAAAACTGTGATTTTACAAAATCAAATAGAATAAAGTCCTTTATATTCAGTCATGCTTGGTTTGTATTTAACATTAACATAAATCTGGCCTACAAGAATGATTAATTTATAGTGAACCAGATATTATTTATTATACACAGATTTTTGCTTGAATTAGTAGAAAAATACACAAGAAAAGCGCCTTGAGAAAATAATGCTATTTAAATCGTAATTGCAATATTTAGGAGAAAAAAAATTGCTATTAGATTATTTATCAAAATCGTTCAGCCCTAATTAAAACTTCATTAATAAAAACAATCCCACCTGTATGATCGATACTCTCGGTCATCGTAACGATCATAGTCGCGGTCGTAGCCCCTGTCATATCCTCGGTCGTAGCCCCTGTCGTAATCCCTTGAGACGCGCCGTGATGAACCTCCACCACTTCCTCCGCTGCTGCCGCCACCACTTCCTCCACCCCCGCCACTGTTAGAACACAGAATAAAATGTCACGCCAGCTGGTAGGTGTAAAAACTCTGTGTGAATGTGAAACACTGACTATGTGGGACGTCCCATGTAGATTCCAGGAGTGGGGGTGTGGGCTCTTTTGGTAATTGAAAAGTCCACTCTGATCCTGCGTCCATCAAGCTCCATGCCGTTAGCTTGCTCCTTAGCCTTAAAAATAAAAGCTCGTTATCGCCAACACCTCAAACTGGATTCTAGGTTAAATTTTGCTCTCAGGGACTGACTGACCTCTTTAGAGTCCTGGCTATTTTGAAAATAGACAAAAGCGAAACCTCTTGAGCGACGCGACTGCTGATCATACACTATGTTGACATCAGCCAGCGGGCCATATTTCGAAAACACCTCCCTCAAGTCCCTCTCAGTGGTGTAGAGGCTCAGACCAAACACACCGACACAGGCGCTGGGGTCTGGGTTGGCCTGCAAAAGCAAACAAGGGTCAAAATGTGCACTAAGAAAAAAGAGCGGAAACAAAATACATCCATTAAAAGTCAAATCTTCTGCAAAATTCTTATTCACATGAGAATAAACCCAAACTACACACAATTAACACTTTACCCTGTTTCCAATGTGTCTGCGTCGATTTGACATGGGGGAACGGCTATGGCTCCTACGCCGGCGGTACCCCGAGCTACGAGATCGGCTCCTGGACCGGCGGTGCCGGGAGTGGGAACGTGACCGGGAGTAGCGCTTGCGTGAACTTCGATGGGAACGAGATCTAAGAGAAAAATTTTGCAACCATTTAGAAATAACACTAGGAACATACAGTTTCAAAAACAACACTAGAAACTAAAACCACATTTTACCTAGACTTGGATTTGGATCGAGAACGTGACCGGGACCTGGAATGGCGAGACCCATCTTTGGAGCGACTGGTGGACTTTGCAGAGCCCCGAGGGGACGAGCCTGCCCGCGAGTCCTGGGCAGATTAGATACTCAACTCAGAAACATTCAGCAAACAAGTGAGTCACAAAAAACTAAGGGGGTAGGAGGTGACAGCCCTCACCCCGTGAGTGCCCCCCTTCAGAAGAGGTTCAGATTGTTGCTTTTTAGCAGATTTGAAACTGATAAATTTAAAAAAAATCTTGTATTAAATGACACACAGAAACATATTTAATATGCATAATTAGCTATTGAAAATGCATAGTTTAAAAATGGAATGATTAATCATGTATCTAAAACAGAGGGAGGGAAAACAAAAAATCAAGCATGCTAAGGAGAAAGAAACAGGGTGAAATAAACATAACAGGTTTTGAGGAAGACACTCATACCCAGGTATACTTCTGATCTTAACTTCATAACTTCTTTAACTTCATAACAACCCTTCATTTCTTCTTTCTTCCGTTTGAAATTCTGACTTCTTTTTTCCTCCTCTTCCCCCTTTTACCATCTCCCATTACAACACTAGAAGTGGGGCCAGATCTTGATCGCTTCTTTTCAGCATCCCAAGATTATATTAGCATGCATCAACACCATCAGCTTCAAATATTAAAAACGTCACATCTGACACGTCTTGGGGGCTTTTTCTTTCTTCCAACCTTAACCTTGACAAAAAACAAACAAGGGTGATAAGGCAAGTTGGTTTCTGTGTTGGCTAAAAAAAAAAAAAAAAACGGCAGCAAGTTAGCTGGTTTCATCTTCAATGCACTATTATTATTCACAGGCACAACATAAATCATAGTTCAGAATAGTCATACATTTAACTTTACGTGCATTGTTTTTACGGCGGTGTTTTACGAAATAAAGCGAAAGTAATTCTAGCAGGCGGGTACATTTTCCGACATCTACGGCTTTGAGGCCGCATGGCTTAGCTTAGCACTGCTACATTAGCATCTTCGATTTCACTTCTCTCAATAATTATAACAAACTTCGTTACCATTCAGTCTTTTAAAGAGTAAAATTACACATATTACAACATTTGAAACCTTTATTTTACACGCATACCCATTCATCAGAATTTCAACTGCTGCAACCCGCCGTTAGCTAGTCTTGGCTAGCTTTAGCTTACTGTCGAATTTTTTCTTTCAAGAACTCACCTGTTCCCTGAAATCTTTCTCGTTGTCACTCATTTTAGAATCACAGAATTTACTCTTTTTCAAAAGTTAGAAAATAAACGAACGTCAAGGAAAAGTCACAAGTCTGCTAAGACTACACGACGTTAATATCAATCTGCAACACCTAAAAACGGAACCTGCAAGCTACTGCGCCAAGACATCGATTTCCGGTTTTGGTGTTGCGTCGAAAAAAAGGCACACACAAAAAAAAAAAAAAACACATTGGGAAAAACCTCGAAAAAAATGCCAAGGATGAAGCTCATGTTGAAACAATAGTGCAAAAGCATTTATTCAAATGGTGAAAGAAAAGTAACAGTAAGAAACTTTAGTCAATTTGTCACAATGTAGTCGAATTTATCAGACATCAAATTTTCTAACTGGTGCATTTCCTGGCACATCACCGGTCAGATTTTCTAAAGAAAAACTAAATAAAATTGAGAGGAATTTGTTCAAACGTGACACAAATATGCTTTGACTCTTAAATAAACTTAAATTTACTTTTTTATATATAAATTAACCATAGGAAAGCCTCTTAAGTATGGCGTTCAGAAATATTAAATAACTTGCAAGCAGCACACTGCACATAATTTCTGATGGCAATATTCACTGCTCTTTTACAGTCCTTGATGCTGCAGGCAATGTTAAATCAAATGAATTTCTTGTGAATTGGTGCATGTAAATATAGAATACATTAAATCTTGCGGACAAGACCCAGGGGCTATCAGTTAGCACTGCTCTCATACTCGTGATAAGGCTTAATAAAAACTCCAGGTACAAAGAGAAAGAAATCTTTATCACAGGTGAGAAATATCACATTTTTTTACATCAAACACAAACATGCACATCTGTACAGTAGTCTTAGTACCAGCCCTACTGGACTTCTGAAGTAAGCAAACTAGAAAACATTTACAGATTTTCCAGCACTTCCTGGTACGATAAACCAACAGGATAATCTCCACTCATTGTAAATAAAATACACAAGCATTCATCCCCAAATCACTCATCTATTCAGTCAAGTCATAAGTTATAGTATAATTACTGTTTTTTGAGCAAACACTCAATCATGCACTTTATCTGCAAAAATGGCAGGAGGTATTTAAACATGTCAATGTTCATATCTCACAAAAAGATTTATTCATTTAAAAATGTAAGTGCTTATATTCTCTTTAACTCAGAAAAAGCCAAATTGCCATAGGGTTTCTATAAGCCACAACAAACAAATTCACTGAATTTTGGGTAATAAATTCAAAGTTATCAAAAAGCCAGAAACATGTCAGAACCCAAAGAATCATTTAAACTGGGCTCAGTGAGGGAGGAAGCTAAAGGCACTTATCGTAGATCAAAGAAGCCATTCACTTGTGCCAAAGGTTGAGAAACAACTTCTTATGAAGCAACATCTCCAATTAGAACTCAGAGAATATAAATTATTGCCCCTATAAGAGATGAGACTTAAGTTAAGACTAGTGTTTAATTATCCAAATCTGGGTTAGATTTCAGTCCAGTTCTTGTCTTTGGCCCATTAAGTGAGATCAGCCCGTCGTCAAGCATCGCCATCCTCTATAGCAGCTTCTGATTGAGAATTTCCCACATCATTACCTTCCTGAAGAGAGGCATGTGGCACTGAAAATACAACCAGATACATGTTATTCTCCTATTTAAAAGCAGAATGATAAAATATTAAAAATTCTTGTGCAGACTTCCCCTAAAACCCGTTTCTCCACTGAGAAAATGGAAATAAGGTGTAGTGCACTAGCACTTCGTAAAGTAACATTTAATGTTTCTCATTCCTTCCCCTACTGGATTAAAGTGGAATAACAACTCTTGTAAACAACCTTGCTGTTGCTTGCACCTACTTTGCAGATAATGACGTCATCAGATAAGGTGTAGTAGTACTTCAGAAACAAAGAAAAAAGTTTGCTTTTTGCTACTTTTTAGACGGTTTCAAACTGAAACCAATGAGTGTAGGCCACTCTGGTTTTAGCTCAACTCCGCCTCCAAAAACTTAGTCTCTTCCTTTTACTTCCAGGCTCTGCAATGATGCCAATAAAAGAGCAAAATTCATCTTCTTGTTGTGTGTTTTACTGATAAAAGGCAAACTGAAAAACTTTACTTCTAGCCTTTATACGAGCAACTGGCACAGTAAAGCAGGTAGAGACCGCCTGCTTGCGCCTACCAGAACCACCAAAGTAGTTTAGTGCCGTTTCTGGCCAGCAGAGGGCAGCAGAGGGCTGTCCAATGTGAAGCTGCTCAAGTTTCTGCTTCAAGAACGACTGAAACCAGTTTGAAAGCAGTAGCTTAAAGTGCTAAACCCACTAGCGCTACGTTGAACAACAGTTAGGTATTACCTGTTTGAACGTGAGAGGCCTTGCTTTTGCTATATAATCTGCATATTTACAGGCGAACACACCACAGTCGTTGCCATTCCTCTGCTGTGGAATCTCCTATTGGAATCAAATATAAGTATTAACCTTACAGGTAAATATAAACTCTTATAGGTCGAGTTCTTCATTCACTTTACTTACGCCAGCTTTCAAACTCCCAACAGTCCATTTGGTGCTGTCGAGCTCTTTGCCCTTCTTCACTCTGTGCTCCTCTTTCAGGTAGAGTCTGAGAAATGAACAAGATTAAACACAGACGTTTGAGAAAAAAGAAACAAACACTAAAAGAAAATAAAAACAATGCAGGCTCACAGTAAGAGTCTACAGATGTCGTCATGTCTCTGACCCATCGAATCAAAGGATTTCACTGTCTTTGACTTAAAGTCTATTATCTGGAAACAAGACAGAAGACCCATGAGACCAGAGAAAATACTAATAATAATAAAGTCATGAGAGGGACTCACAGCCATCGCCCAGTGGACGCCAAGATGCAGCGGAACCAGAATGAGGTCAAAGACAAAGATGTCAACAGCCTTGGTCCAACGCTTCACTGCCGTGTGTCCTCCAGGCTGTCCTCCTCCTCGCAGCTTTGGGAAGAAGAAGGTGCTGAAGGAGTAGACCTTTAACTGTGCTGCTTTCCCAGAGCTCCGCTCCATGATGAGGGACAGGTAGAAGTTTATAACCTTGGTGCAAAAACACAATTTAATCCAAGTTGTGCTCATCTATGAGGTAACATGATAGTAGTACCACATTCCTAACCCTAACCCAGCTACATCCGGTTGAATCTATTAAAAGCTAAATAAAAAGTGTGTGAAGCCACATTTGGATGAGATCCCACCTCGTCGTTGAGCCATCCACCTTCCTGCAGCGTGGCCAGGTCTCGCTGTGTGATGCGAAGCTTGAAGGCTGCACTTAAAACAAGGCTGGGGTCGCTCTGAGCCAGAGCTTCGCTGATCTCTGCTGCCATTTCCTGCAGACACACAAAAAACCACACACTGTCATTGCTTCCTTCAGTAATTCTACTATAAAACCGATCGTTTGACCTCACTTTAGTCAGCCTCGGCACGTCCTCTCCTCCATGTCTAGTGTGAGACACGTATGTTGGCTGTCCTTCAGGGAAGACAGCAGCAGACATGTCTCTGTCCACTAGATTAAGACGAGTTGCTACTTCTGTAGAAAGGTCCACCTCTGCTGTCTGTTTCTGCTGCAACACAAGTCAGCATGACTTGTTTTGTGACTAAATGTTTTGCCATATTAGATGAGAATGAAATAAAGATGCAACAACCTTTGAACATCTGACGGATTGTGGATCATCAAAGGTTCCACGGAGAGTCAAGCCACCCCATCTGCAACATGTTTAGCAGAAGTAACTCAGATGCTTGTGACATAAATATAAAAATGATCCGTCCTGAACCAACCTGTCCTTTGTTGCAGAAGAGTTCCTGTATGGAAACATAGTTGGTGCAGCTGTGAAGGAGACATTAGCTGATTTAAAAACAAACAAATCTATGATAGAAGAGGTTTTCAGCCATTTTGAACATAAAGACTCCTACTTGTGCATCCCGCCCTCCTGGAAACGCTTTCAAAGGTTTTCTCTGAAGCAGACGTTCTGTGAGAAGCGTGGGCCAGCGACTCCCTGGAAGAAAAAGAAGAAGATGACCAACGAGCTCCAGAGGAATGTTGAGCTGGTGACCGGATGTTTGAACCTCACTCTTTGGGTTTGGTTTGGTGGAACGGTAGCGGCTGGTTTTTGCTGTACTTCTCCGTCACCATCTCCAGCAGGCGTCTGTAGTGCTCCTTGTTGTTCTGCTTAATGGCCTGTGAGCAGAAACCAAAGAGAAATGACCAAGTGAGCTGCTGATATCTGAGGGATTCTAGCTAATCAAACAATAAAGTGTTCAGAAAGGGAGAGGATTAGAGCCCAAACTGACCTCCTCCACAGTAAGACTGGGCTTGTAGCAGCGGTTGTGTCCAAAGCCACTGCATGCGAGTTCAGGATGAGCACCTCCTCCTCTAACAGCAGGCCTGGAGGGCAGCAGCTGGAGGGAGCCCCTCTTCTCCCTGTCTGAGAGTCCTGCAGGCAGCACTGTCCCACTGGGTAGGAGCATCAGACAGGGTGCTGCTTAGGGTTAGGCATGCACAGTAACTACTGTACTAAAATAAAGAAGGACTTGCCTGTGTTTCCTTAGCAACGGGGGCTGAGAGCTCTGGAAGGGATTCTTCCCACCCTTGTTGTTTACCACTGAATTATCTGGGGGGTGGGGGTACAGAAAGTAGATTTAAAACAATCATAATAGTTTTTACTTTTCTCTGTGGTGATGTCGTTCTCACTCACCCATTCTCCAGTCAGCACAGCTGATCCATGAAGTGTGAAGCTCATCTATACCAATCAGAGCGACCGGCTGATCAGAAGAGACATCATTAAAGACAAAACCAACATTTCACAACGTAACCTAAAAATCTTAAAGCTGGGGTCCGTTGTGTGATGTCATCAAGAAGAGTGGAAATATAAATGATGAAAGATTGTCTACTTTAGAATAGAACAGGGTCAGATGGTCAACTTTAAGCACATGTAACCATCAAGCGGACTCTGCCAGGGTTGATAACAGACTTAAAAACGAGTCTCAAATCTTGGCTTGACCTCTTACAATGTTTCCAAATGCCGGCTCAGTAAAGTCTGTGTGAGCTGCTCTCTTTGGAACAATCCACAGATTCTCAGTCATCCAGGACATGATAATCTTGAGTTTTAAATGAAGGTAGCTGGAATGTTCTTCTTATCTTGAAGAAGTTTCACCTTCAACCAGGAGCTTCTGTAGTTCTAAATCTTGGGTTTGGAGCAGGAGGCTTACAGAAACATTCACAGGAACTCACTCAGAACAAAGTGGGTGGAGTGTCTGTGAAACCTGGGCCTTTTTCTAAACACAAGAATACTTTACATTTTAAATCTGGTCATGTCCCCAAACAGAGACTAGTTCCATTTATGGATAACCACACCTGGATGACTGAGCCTTCACCAACATCTATTATACATCATCCAAACAAATCTGTCTGGATGAAGCACCCACCTGCGTCTCCTTGTGCTCCATCGCATTGTCACACTTCTTCCGCAGCCTGAGTAGTCCTGCTAATCCAGTGACTGTCTTCTTCACAAAGCTGATTACTACATCTAAAAGAAAAGGACATTAAAGATCAAGAGCGGCTGATATCCAAGCTAGGACATCTTTTAAACACACCCAAAGTCACTGGAATTAAATATCATACCTCGTCTAGGTCTTTTGACCTCTACCGGGTCACTCTGACAAACATTATCAGCAACAAACACACTGAAACAGAGAAAATGAAAGTCTGGGTTCGTTTTCTTGTCATCGCACAAACCTAGAAACAAAGAAAATACATTTTCACCCCTACAAATGTAGCTCACAGTCCAAATTAAATTCCATTTCTGATAAATAGAGTGATAAATAACGTTAAAGTGTGGAAACAAGGACTTCTATAGAGTCTAACCATGTACTTACCGGCCAACGGATTTTTGTTTTGAACTTTAACCCTCTGATGCATGAATTATGAGATCTTCAACTATGATTTTTAAACAAATTTTTTCATTCATCTTTAGGTGTGAATGAAACAAATTTCAACACATATTTTTTGGGACATTTTGTTAATTTACAAATACTTTATTACATGTCCACCTCAGTGGACAGCGTGCATTCTGAACATGAAATATGTTGGATTGCCTTACTGACGTCCAAATGGAGGGGCTCACATGCAATAAAGTCTTCAACAGCTGTGATTATTAGCAAAAATAAATAACAATTTTGAGTACCTGTCCACTGTAGTGACCATTATGCATCAAAGGGTTAAAAAATAAGAAGAACTCAGGTCATTTCCAGCAGAAGAGCTGGCCCCAGTGTTTACGGGCATTTACAACTCCTCACTAGAGGCATCCCGTGAGCCTGACTGCTTCATGATCTCCACCATAGTCCCAGTTTTTAAGAAGCCAAGGATCACTGTGGTCACGTGCTTCCTTTTAAGATGCTCGTGCATCGCCTATGTGCTCCTGTGAAACGAGTTTCACCTTACAGAGTTTTCACTCTACTTGCTTCTCAGTTGTTTTCATGAAGTGCTCCAAAACCTTTGAGCTCTGTTGCTGCCTCACCATGATGTTTCATTTCTCCAATGATTCTGATTCGAATGCTGAGCTGCAATGGCATTATTGCGCATGTGCGCTGACTTGCGTAAGCAGCAGCTTACACGGATGGGGACTAGAGCGCATCTGCGTTGAGCAGAGAGGCAGGAAGCAAACGACAAATGTGCTGCAGCAGGCGAGATTTTAAAAATGCTCATACAATAAACGACGCGTTGAGTTATTTGTTTTGTTGACGTCGTCATGACGCGTCGATTAATCGTGGCAGCCCTATTTCAGTCTATACAAAATTTGCTGATTTCAGAAGCATAAATCAGTCACGGCAAATTTCATTTATCGGCCATAACAGTAATATTAATATCGGTATTGGCCCCAAAAATTCCTATCGGTGCATCCCTACATTTATGTTTGTGTTTAATCACGATTATATTCTTACTTCCTATGTTAGCTCATCTCTTACTTTTACCTTTCTTTAAGCAACAAGTACAGCAGCAATTTCCTAATGTTGTGATTTCTCGCACAAACCTGTCTGATTCTTATTCTGATTACCATTTGAATTTAGGAAAACAAAAGATGAAAAACAATTTTTCTGCTTTCCCTCCCCCATGAGAACCAAAACTGAACATGTATCTCAATTCATTTTCAGAGTCAAAAATTATATTTGGAAATCAAAATCCCTACATGAAAATCGTATTTATGTTGCTTTTTGATGATGGGAATTATTAGCCTTCTTCAAGCAGCTGACCCCCATCAAGGGATGGTCCAGGCTGGTCAGGTGGGAGGTGGACCATCTGGTGGAGCCAAAACAACCTAGAGCTCAATGCTCTAGACAGCGGAGATGAAGATGGACCTCAGCCCCAACTCCACCATGGAATTTGTGGCGTCTTTTCACTTCTGATGACCCCTCACAATCAGCACCTGAACATTTTGATGACTGTTAAAATATCTGTTATACTAATCTCGTTTTTAGAGACCAAATAAGTAAACAGAATCCCAAAAACTGAAATAAATGATTGCAATTTTGACTTAAACTCTTCACTGACTGTGAACAAAGAACGATACAACTTTTGGGTTACTGCTCCTTTTTGTACTGTACCTGCTAAATTATGCTAATTTAGTTGTCAGAAACGCCACGGTAAAATAAATGTTAGAAGTCTTGGTATATTTGACTTTCGTGTAAGATTAATGCTCAGAAAGTGTTCATTTATATCTAAAACATGTACCAACAAGAAAGGAAACATCAGAACAATAACGTGTTTACATTGGGTTAGCTAGAATGACAGTTTGATTGCTAACGTTAGCTTTGCGTAAACTAATGATTGCGTCGCAGCAGAAGTGAGCAAATTCAAGGAGCACTAAGGTAGCAAAAGGTCTCTTACCTTTGATAATTCCGTTTAACCGGTCTGCTGCCGCTTTCCTGCAGCCGTGATGCGGTTGTCACGTCAGGTAGCGTGGGTTCTTTCTCGCTATCGTTCCTTTCCCCGGACCACTCGGTGGAGTTTTGCCCCGAAACGGGTTCAAACAGCGACGAGATTCCGTCAACTATCCATCCATACATCCCAGACAAATACGTCCAAATTGTACCGAGGTCTTCCACGCGGGCCAGGACGGTTTGTTTACTTCTAATATTGACCAAACTATCTACGACACAATCTCCTCCGGTTACTTTAGCACAGCGCAGCGTTAGCGACGCTGGAGGAAGTTCGTCATTACATATGGCTGCAGAGAAGGTGGAAATGTTTTGTGCGTCAGCGCGACACGGTTGGGTGGGATAAGAGTACTAAACATATACAATCACAGACGGCGACTCCGGGTTACTAAAACAAGCTAACCCACCAACCGATATCTGTCAGCGTTGAAACAATCGGATTGGCTCCCGATTTATTTCTAGTGGTTGTTTCGTTCCCTCCTGACTGCCAGTGGCAGTAAACAGAGTGGATGTATCTCCTCGCGCTCTGCGCAGGTCGAGTACTAATGTAAACAAAGTCACGCACGTGACACGTAGCGCACCTGGTCGCGAGTCTATAAATTACGCGCCGATAGCTACGTTCGGGTCTCCCGGGATCTTCTCGCCCGAGAAGTTCCGAGTGACCCCTGTGACTGGCAGTCATCCAGGAACTCACAGAACGGAAGTTACACCGTAACCTCCGAATTGCTGCATTTCAGACGTCGACATTTATACGATTCAGATTTCAGAGAGGAATTGTTAATCAATTTTAAGGTGATAACTACCAATTCTATTTCAGAAGACATTTTATCTTTAATTGTACAAGAGGTTAAAAAGGAAAATGTACAACTTGGATAAATATTCATAGAATTAACGGTTTATTATGGTAAAGCAAATTTAAAGTTTATTTTGTGAGCCAATTCTTTGAAAAAAAACATCTAGACAAGAAATTTTCGGTTCAGATCTGACTAGCTAATTAAATTGTTCTGCAAAGAGCTATACAAATTTATAAAAATATTTTTTTCTCCACTGCAGTTATTTACCTGTATTTAAGGCACATTTAACATGCAAATTGCAAATACAACGTTAACTTTTTTTATGAACAAGCTAATTCTGAAAAACTTTATAAAAAGAGCAATTTTAATGTGGTGTACCTTCTCACAGTAAAATATAACAATAAATCAGTAAGTGATCCACATTATTAAAACCGACACTTTTAATTTTGCATTTTAAACCCATGCCATGCACATATTTCATATATTTTTCTTGAGCCAGTATGTGCTAAAATAAATACAAGGTTAATGGAAGGCCACTCAGACCCCCCCACCGCCCTGTGGCCAGAATACCACATTTGCAACTTCAGAGTGCCGGTCTGGTCGGATGCTTAGAAAAAGTAGAGCAGCAGTCTGGTTCCAGTACATTTCTTGCACGTTTTAGATCGTTAACACAGCTGATTTGTTTGATCTAGTAATGAATCACTTCACCAGAAACTAACGAAGGCTGAGGAGACATTTCAGCTGTTAAAAGCTGGTGTCAAAAAGACGAAAGCACAGCAAGATCAGTTTTGCTTTTGGCTCTACTAATTGGATACTAAATGGACACCAGGGGATGCTAAAAGCAAGCAAAACTGCCAAGTGTGCCTTTAAAACCCAAACTGAATAGCATCAAAATCCTATAGATACTAACAGTGCATACCTTTTACAAATTTTGTATCAAGATTAAAGTCCCATAGTTGTCACACACACACACACTGGTGTGGTGCAGTGAAGGTTGTCCTCCGCATTTGACCCATCCTTGTGAGGAGTGGTGAGCTGCAGAAACGACCACACGTGGAAACAGCCCCTTAAGGCGGAGGGTCAAGCAGGGACACATTGGGTCCCATTTTCATAAAGTCTTTGATATGACCTGACCAGAATTTGAACTCTGATCTCCCAATCTCAGGGCAGACACTCGACCGTTAGGCCACTAAACTGGTATCATAGTTAGATTAAATTATTTTGTTTCCTCAAAATTCTACACACAAAACTCAATAATGACAATGAGGAAAAAAGCTTTGTTGAGATTTTTGTTCATTTTTTTTAAGACTTAGTATTGTCTTTGATAAAAGGATCAGTTTCAGTCAGTTGCATAGAATGCAATGCATGGAAATTCAGAGATTATAAGCCCAATAACAACCTAAACATATTTACTGTAAACCGAGAAATGTCTTTTGTCAGATGTTCCACCAAAAGAATGTAACATTTAATCAAGATTACAAACAATGGTTTCAAGTTATGTAAAGGACTCCTTTAATAGTTTTATAACAGAGACACACATTACTAAAGCGTTTAAGGTCCAGCTTTGTGCAACTCGATATGCATGTTGGTAACTTCCAGTATAAAATCAGTGCATGTTTAAAATCAAACACAATCAACAGAAATCCCTTTACATAACAGAAAATTATGTAAAACAGCGATGAAGCACCATTTACAAATTTGAAAATATTTCTTCTTGCAGCATCTCAAAATGTGGATTTACAATAGAAAAACTACATTTAGATTTATTTTTAAAATAATTTAGACACTTGCTTAAAACTATACAAAAAAGATATAAAGGTAAGGCTTGGTCTGTGCAGGAAGGAAAAACGAAGAAGAAACATTTCGTCTTTTAGTGGACGGACTACTTTGGGTCAGACGAACCTAAATAGAACAGAAAAAAGAAAATTAGTTAATTTTAAAAGCATTAGTAATTTTTCTTGGGCTTCAACACCACACATACCGTAAATCTCTAATATTAGCCTGTATTTAATTAACTGCCGGGTATCATATTTTGGCCGGAGTCGGCGGAGGTGAATAATGGCTGGTTTTTTATTGTGGCCGGGTGGAATGTGGTAACAAGCAAGTACGGGGGGCGGTTGTGTCATCCGTCTCACTTTTGATTAGCCAGTGACAGACCGCGAGGGTAACTTTAACCGTGCGGAGACGAAGAGGAGGCGAATATTTGATATCAAGTTCAAAGAGAGCGTGCTGATTATGCTGCAGAACACTCTGGGGAGCAGTAGCAGGGGTTGTATGAACTAGTCACTAGTCGACTTCACAGCTCTATAGTGACTTTTTATGCCTGTCATCGACTAGTCGCTGTCACGTGATAATGACCGGCAAGATGCAGTCCACGGAAAAGACAGCAGCCTGCTGTCAGCAGGTGACAAGCTCCTGCGCGTCGGGATGCAAGCGCTGTGCCAGAGCGTCGGTACGACACCCGCCGTAAAACGGACATTTAACCAAATTGTGACGTTTCCCTCTTGCAATTTAACATTCCCCTCACCCCCATCCTAACCTTAACCAGCTTGCGCATGCAACGCTCTGATTGTAGACGTGCTCCAGACATCTGCGTCCTGAGCACGGCCACAGTAACATTATCAAATCAGGTGTCGCCACCTCAAAAACTAATTTAACACGCGATCGTTCATGTCGGCTCATTTCCTTTTATGTTTTCTGTCTTTTATTCTTTTATTTGTGCCTGATGCGCTTCGCTGCTGTGGATCGGGGCGCATCACCTGTTTTGTCCTTGGTGACGCACCTCACTGATGTGGCCGGCAAGCACTCCGCTGTTTTTGCGGTCGGGAGATCTTTTAGAACTGCAGTTCAAAGGTAACTCATAAGGTGAATATGAACCCGGGTAGCAGTTTTTCTTTAGGATTGAGAGGAGATGCAGGAAGATAATAAACAGACAGGACAGAAAAATAGTCAAATAAAAACAAGTTAGTTTTTGTACCTGGTGGTTGCAACAAACAGACACCACTGAAGGTAATCAGAAGCGAGGAACAGAAATGAAATAATTATTTGAATGTTTAGAGCAGCAGGAACTCTGAGGGGCTGCAGGCGCATCAGTGAGTGTGCGGCCACTGCGCAGGGGGAGGGGGGGGAGGGCTGAAGCAGAAACTACCGTTGTTAAAATAAATGTGTTTAACTTTGAAAATGTGGGCGCAATTTTAACCGTCAAAAACTCCAACGAACCATTAGTTCATTTTGCTCAAATAGAAATTGAGGCCTGCCTCTAATACTGGTCCTCCTTCCAATAAAGGCCTGGAGCTTGATGAGCTTGAGTCAAATACAGACCCGGGTCTGTATTAGAGGATTTACGGTAAGTATTTATATCAGAAAGATTTTGTTTTATTGCCAGTTTCCCAGATTTTTCTTTTGTTTTCCACAGTAAAAGGGACTCATGTGGTACTTTCAGCATCAGATACTGCTCAGATGTCACAGGATGACACCAGATTCAGACACTCCACCTTTGGTCTAAAAATGAGACTATGAGAGTTGAATAGAATAGAATAGAATAGAATATACTTTATTGTAATTGCTCATGGCTATTAAATTACAGATGGTCCGCCATCAACAGAGCACAAAATAATAAATAACAATAAATATCAAAACCATAGAGGACTAAAAACAATTTAAAAACATTTAGCAAACACCAAGAAAGTGCAGCGCAACCAGTGATTCAGATCTGCTAAAACAACAATTTAAAAGGATTTCAAACAGATTAGTCCACTGAGTTGGTTACGATGACATTAATCTGAGCCAACAGGGTTTTTATTTTTGCTCACCTTGCAAAGTTCCCACCAAACGCTGCTGTACTTTCTCTAGATGATGGATGTATTCTGTCAGGGACCGCTCAGGATCCTGAGACGTCCCACCGGAGGACAAAGTGGTGTCGGAGTGCAATCTGAGGAGAAAACAGATCGTTGTAACATTTCTGATGACAACACAAAATAATTCTATGGAACCGAAGTCCAGACCTGCTGCGCCACCTGAAAGACTTGCTGGATGGAACTATGGAGAACACACCGTCTCCATGGTTACTGTTGTCTCTGACCTGTGTTGGGTCAGAGTTTGATCTAGGCTGCTGCTGCCTTAAGACTTCAGCTTTAGGTCCTGCTAAAGACAGAAATTATAACAATGCGTGCATGAGTGCGTGTGTGTGTGTGTGTAACAGACCTGGGGCGTGTCCATTAGCCGTCCCTGAGTAGGGGAGTCGTCTGATTGCTCTCTGCCATTTCCTAGTGAGGAACCTCATTCTAAAAAAAATAAAAAACACACAGAGGCTGGATTTAAACACAAGGCCAGGGCCGCCAAACCACATCATCAGTTACGTCCTACCTGAACACCGCTATGACGGCTCGAACCGCCGCCCTGAATCGCCTCAGGGGTTTGCGTTGGGATGTGAGGGGGGGCGAGGGCCGTGCTCCCATACGAGCAATCAGACACAGCGTGGCCTCCTCACAGTCTTGAAACCCTCCCAGCAGGAGCAGCAGGTAGCGCTTTTGATAAACCAGGGCCTTCCTGAAGCTCTCGGCGCGCAGGTAGCGCTCGTAGTAACGCTGCAGCTGTAACACAAGCAGCAGCGGCTTTATCAGCTGCACGTTCTGACCCAAACACGATTAAACGTTTTGTCTCCTACTGACCCTGCTGTTGCTGGTTGCATCATTAACGGGTCGGTTTTCTGTTTCTGCAGCGACCTTGGCGAGCTCGTTCTCTGCTCGCCGCAGCTGTTTCTCCACACAGGTGAGCCTATTTTTGTACGTGGTCCGCTCACGACTCAGTGATGTCACCTGTTCTGTCAACGTCGAATTCTCCTTCAGCAAACTCTCCAACAGGCTAGATGAAGGTGTGGACCCCACCTATGATGGTGCATTTCGTCATTAATGTACTAGTTTTGTTAGCATTTTATCAAGTTTCAGTGTCGCTCCCTTGACTACCTGCTGGCGTGGCTGTGAGGTGGCGGTCTGGTCGCGGTCAGCCGGGGAGTTACTGTGACGCGGCACAGAAGCAGGCGCGGCTTCGAGCTGCTGTCCCGGGGCCGAGCCAGACAGCCTCTGAGCAACCATCTCTCTCTCGTCTCTCTCCAGCTCGGTGAGCGTGTACTGCAGCTCCTGCATGCGCCGCTGGTCCTGCTGCCTCAGCATCTCCAGCTCCAGCTTCAGTCAGAAAAAATTCCTTTAAAAATCAAAAGCATTACGCGTGAAGATACTTGGTGTGATAACTTACAAGCTTTTTATTGGTCCTCTCCTGACGAATCTCCCTGTCCTTCTGCTCTTGCCTTCCCCTTCTCCTCTCCCTCTCGACCTGGTCCTCCCTCTCCCTCTCCTTCTCCTTTAGCAGACGGACCATCTCCTTCAGCTCCACTAGTTCCACCCCGTGTCGTCTGGATTGCTCCCTCTCAGCCTCTAAAGCATGGGTGATGTCCTGTTTTTGCTCTTTTAAAGTCTCCACTAGAACTCGGTACTTGCTAACCGCCTCCTGCTCCCTCTGAAGCTGCTCCCGCCTCGTTTTATCCTCTTCTTCCCATCTTCTCCTGCTCTGAAGCAGCTCGGTCCTCAGCTTGTTCACCACAGCTGCCAGCTCCTCCTCCTGCCTCCGCTCCTGGTCCAGCTGGGAGCGCAGCTCTAAGATGAAATTCTGGTCTCTGGCTGCATCGGCCTCATGTCTGCGGCTGAGCTCGTCCACCTGCCTGGACCAGCGGTCTCGCTCCTCATCAAACCTCTTGTGAGAATCCGCGAGCTTAGAGTGGATTTCAGTCAGGCGAGACTCCGCTTCATGCAGAAGGCATTCGATTTGAGACTTTTCCTGTAAACAGAGCTCCTGCTGATGTGCAAAACGCTGGCGTTCATCTTCTTGAGCTTTGTGAGTGTCCTCCAAGCGCTTCTCCAACAGCGAACTTCGCGATTGTTCGATCTGTAGCTCTTGTTTGAGATTGCTGAAGGCCACCATCTCCTGCTCCACCTGGCCCTTTAGAGAGTTCACCTCAGAGCGGTGCTTCTCATGGGACACATGAGCGGCCTAGGGAAAGGACAGAGGGTCAAGCTCTTTTAAAGTTCTGTTCCAACCAAAACCCTAGCATTAATGCTAGTTTCATTGTCATCTCACCTCTCTCCTCTCCTCCTCCTCTTTGTCTCTACGGAGAATCAGAGCTCTCTCCTGCTCCAGTTCTTTCTGAAGCTCCTTAACTTTGGTCTGTTCCCTCCTCAAAGCTTCCTCCCCTTCCTCTGCAGTCAGCCTGACACACAGGATAACATTCCAGCTTTAGTTTTCACCCCTTTTCAACATGTTACAGGTAAAAAATAAACTAAAGTCCATGTTTTTAGAGCATGAAACATACCTAAGTGACAGTATTTTATTCTTTTGCTCCTGCAAAGCATTGTGGGAACATTTTAACTGGTTCTGGTTCTCCTCCAGCTCTGCCCTCAGCTGAGATTCCACCTGCCCGTCGGTCTGTAGCTGGCGTCTGTGCCAGTCATCGTCGATGTAATCAGACTGAGGAGAAAAAGAATATCATCAGCACCAAGGATTGCTTCTAAAAATGTTAAATCAGAAACAGGAGTAAATAAAAATACCCCAAAGCATCTACAATACCGTGAGATAACCGTGGAAACGCACCTGTGTGTTTCTCTGAGCCATTCGACAGAGCAGCTCTCTGAGAGCGATCACCGTCTCCTGCAGCGCTCTCTTCTCCTGCTGCCAGCTCATGGGAGGATCAGGTGATGGTGCTTTATCGCCACGGTCCCCTGAAGTTGAGAGACGCCGAGTCTGATCGGTGGGGAAGGCTTTTAGATCAAAAACACGAGGATGGGCTGATGGAGCGGCGCCACGCTGGCTCAGAGTGAGAATCCTGCAGCTTTCTTGATACACTTTTTTTAACAGATCCTGTAAAGCAAAAAAAAAAAAAAAATAAAAATAAAAATAAAAATAAAAAAAATAAAAAGCTAAAAGCATCAGACTTACAGTGGTTTTACCTGCTGCTGATGGTGTTTATAAAAACTTACCTGAAGTTCAGGTGACAAGTCATCACAGTAGCTCATGCTCCCTGCAGCACTGTCTGTGTTGGCAGTGGGGTTCATGCCTCTGCAGCGCAGGTACTGAACAAACTGAGCATCCAGCCTTTCCGTTTGTTCCAGCTCCACTCTCAGCCTCGCGCCCAGCTCTGAACTCACGTCTGAACAATGAAACGACAAAAACAGAGTCATCTTCTACTTTCCAATCTAAAAGAGCCCCGCTGCAGCAGCCGGGTGACCAATAACCTGCTAAGCTGTCCGGCTGCAGAGGTACTTACTGCTGCCGTAACCATCACTGGTGTTCCATTCTTGTGCCGACAGGGAGGAGGTGGAGCCAAGAGGAGATGGAGGTGCTGTTAGGTCAAGTCCTTCCAGCTCATGCACCACCAAAAAAATATATATATATTTTAACACAAAAAACACAGAAAAGTCCAGATAACGTACATGCATGACTCTTTTGTGCTGCATACTTTTTCAGCCTCCACTGAGTTGAGAACGGAGAAGTTGTCAGAGCCGGATAAAGACTTTGGAGAGTGGCTGCTCTGAGTTTCTGGATCTGGAGTGATGGTCCTGGAGCGCGGAGGCTCCATAGCAACCCTGGGAGAGGTTTTATCCTGAGGAGGATCGAGGCTTGTGTTGTTCATGCCGCTGAGCTCAAACAGACGGGAGTCGAGTGCAGAAGTTTGAAAGCGTTCTCGGATTCTGTCTTCGGAACAATCGAGTCTCCTCAAAACTTCTGGAGAGCTCAGAGACGCTTCATCACGGGAGATGGTCAGACCATCCTCAAAGCCCAGGTGAGAAACGTCTGATGAAAGCAGCAAAGGTGTTAGTCTTACCTCAGAACAACAAGAAATGTTTCAATCTGCAGGTGCTCACCCCGCTGTGGGAAGCTCTGGTGACGCCATTGATGTAGTTCCTGTAGTTCTCTTCTCTGGTATGCTAGTTTCTCTTCCTGTAGCGCTAGGTCCTCCTGGAGATGCTGCAGTTCTGCCTTCAGCTGATTGTTTTCTGTTTCCAGGTCAACAAGATATTGATCTTTGGTCTGAAAACAGAAATAATAAACATCAAGTATAAATTAGTTTGATTCTCTCCTCTGCTCCTCCTGAACTCACCTGTTTGTTGTCATGAAAGCTTTCCGTTTTCTTTGTGGTGGAGCTCAGCCCTTGTTTCATAGCAGTCAGCTCCGTCCTCAGTGTCTCGTACTCTGTCCTCAGCTTGGAAAACTCCGCCTCCCTCAGTCTCAAAGCGGTATCTGCTTTAGCCAGGGTCACGTCGGCGTGAGTCTGAGTGAAAGTGGAGCGTTTGTTTTACATATCTCCCAGAAGCTGTTACGAGCTAAGCTAGGCTAAGCTAAGCAGAACTCTCACACGTCTCCTAAAACCATTGCAGCTGCTTCCCACCACATCGCCACGGCCACAGACTCAGGAGTAAATGCAACCAAAAGCTACCCAAGCTTTTCCTTTAACTTCTTCATTTTTAAAGTCACTTCCTCCCTATGTTTCTGTAGTTGCTGTGCTGCAACACGTCACCACGGCAACGCCCCTAATTAGGACCAGATGTGGTCTGTGGCACAGCTGTATGCTGAAACTCTGGTTGGTTGGGGTAAAGGTCTGAGTAAACCATTCTGTTTAAAGATCTAGAATCACAAAGCATGACTTAAAGAATGAAATAAGCCTCTTTTACCTCTAAAAACATCCAAATCTATTTAAGCACATTTAACTAGATGTGATGAGTGGGGGCTGCATGACTTAATTTTTCGGGATCGGTTGGTTCGCTGGAGTTTTTGACAATTAAAATTGTGCCCACATTTTCTAAGTTAAACACATCTCTCTTAACAACGGTAGTTTCTGCATCTATACTGCTCCGCTTCAGTCCTCTCTCCTCTCCCCCTGCCGCAAACTCACTGATGCGCCTGCAGCCTCTCAGAGTTCCTGCTGCTCTAAACATTAAAACAATTATTTCATTTTCTGTTCCTCACTTCTGATTACCTTCAGTGGTGTCTGTTTGTTGCAACCAGCAGGTACAAAAACTAACTTGTTTTTATTTGACTATTTTTCTGTTCCGTCTGTTTATTATCTTCCTGCATTTCCTCTCAATCCTAAAGAAAAACGGCTACCTGGGTTCATATTCACCTTATGAGTTACCTTTGAACTGCAGTTCTAAAAGATCTACTGACCGCAAAAACAGCAGAGTGCGCGCCGGCCGCATCAGTGGTGCGTCACCGGAGGACAAAACAGGTGATGCGCCCCGCTCCACAGCAGCGAAACGCATCAGGCACAAATACAGACAGAAAACATAAAAGGAAATGAGCCGACATGAACGATCGCGTGTTAAATTAGTTTTTGAGGTGGCGACACCTGATTTGATAATGTTACTGTGGCCGTGCTCAGGACGCAGATGTCTGGAGCGCGTCAACAATCAGAGCTTCGCATGTGCAAGCTGGTTAAGGTTAGGATGGGGGTGAGGGGAACATTAAATTGCAAGAGGGTAAAGGTCACAATTTGGTTAAATGTCCGTTTTACCGCGGGTGTCAGTACCGACGCTCTGGCACAGTGCAGGGGCTTGTCACCTGCTGTCTTTTCCGAGGACTGCATCTTGTCGGTCATTATCACGTGACAGCGACTAATCGATGACAGGCATAAAAAGTCACTAAAGAGCAGTGAAGTCGACTAGTTCATACAACCCCTAGTGATGAGACTTGCCTTTGCTTTGGCCTTAAAGGAACTCACCAGATCTTCCTGTTCTTGATTCGTCTCTTTCTCCTCGGCTTTAGCCGTCAGCTCCTGCACGAGGACTTTCAGTGATGTAACTTCCTGTCTCAGCTTTTCTATTTCCTCCTGCAGCTGGCTCTCCCTATTCCTCAGAGCGTCCCGTTCGGCTGAAAGTTCTCCGTTCACCGTCTCCAGCGTCTGAATCCTGTCCCTGCCCTCTGCTCTCGTCTCCTGGACTTGCCTCTCAAGAGTAAGGCTGGTTTCTCCAAGGACCTCCATATTTTGCCTCATCTCCTTCTCTGTCGTTTTCAACATTTCAATCTCCTTCCTTGTGTCTTTTTCATTATTCTGCAAATCCAAAACCAGGGAGTCAAGGCGAGCTTTCTCTTCAACTTGGACCTTCCAATGGTTCCTCTCGTCCTCAAGTTTGGCTTTTAACTCCTCCAGCTCTACTTCCTTCAGTGTGAGGAAACCTTGGATTTCGTCCGACTTTTCCCTCTCGACTTTGAGCCTCTTCCCAAACTCCTCTCCCTGTCTTCGGTACTCTTCCTCCTGCGTGAGAAGTAGTCGCTCCAATCCTTCTTTCTCAGCCACGGCCATCTCAAACTGACTCTGCAGGGCCTTGAGACGAGACCAGAGGGAGGCAGTGTTTGTCAGGCTGAGCTCATGCTTCAGACTCTTGGGCTTCCCTCTCCCTTCTTGTTCTGGGACATGATCCCTGTAAGGCTCCGGGCTCGGGGCAGGTGAGGGGTTGATGCTATCACCATCCTGAGAGTCACTGACTTCATGCAGGTTAGGACCCAAGGTGGCAAGCTCTGCCTGCAGCGTGCTGATGACCTCATGGAGGCGTTCCACTTCTTCCTGCTTTTCGTGACGTACTCTTGTTATTTCAGCCTGAAGATGTTCAACCTGAGAGTGCAGATCCTCCAGCTCAGCCTTCAAGGCCTTTTAGGAGAAATAAAAAGGTTTCTAAGAAGGTAAAAGGACACAAAAACAAGCGTCTGCTCTTACACCGACCTTGTGATCTGCGGAGTTCTCCAGCTCCTGCTCCAGTCTTTGGATCTCACAGTTCAGGTGGTCGATCTCCTGGTTTTTCTCCTGGAGAAGAGCTGCAGGAAGAGCGTGTTCATCAGGTTCCTCCATGCCAGCGGGCTCTTCTTTCTCCTCGCTGGGTCTGGTGAGGGCCAACACTTTCTCCTGTAAGTCACCAACACAATTCCACTTCAGTCTCAACAATGACACAACTGAACAAATATGAAGTGTAAAAATCATTAAAGAAATGTTGGGTTCAGCTGCCTTTAGGCAGCTGGTTTTATATTTAAACTTCTATTTGAATTTCAGCCAACTCTTACATTTAGGAAGGAAATCTCCTCCTGGAGCTCCTGAGCGTGAACTGTGCTCTTATTTGTGAGGAGCTCCAGCTGAAGCGTGAGGTGTTTCAGTTCAGCTTCCTTCAGGGCCAGGTCTCTCTGCACGTCCTCCAACTGCACAACCAAGACCCCAACCTGGGAGACAACAGAGAGAAAAAAAACACATGAATAGTTTAGCAAACTCATGCTAATGGTCAATCATTCCAAAAGGTGGCGCTGTTGTCAAACCCGTGACTCATTATCTAAATCCTACATGAACCAGTTTTACAGAACACCCTGACCTCTTGTTCTTTGCTGAGCAGGTTCTGCTGAGCGGTGTCCAAGGCATCCCTAAGCTCCTGAGTGGGGTCCTGTGTGTTGTCATGGTAACAGTGTCTGGTCTCATCCAGTTTGGACTGCAGAGCTGAGATCTGAAGCCTGCTGGAGAGTTGCTGCTGCTCCAGAGCGAGCTTGTCCTAACAGAGGAGGAGGTGGGTGAGGAAGGGTGTAAACAGGTAAACTAAAGGTGTGTTGTTCATTTACCCGAGTCAGCTCCTGTTCTCTCAACTTGGCTCTGTGAAGCTCTTGCTCCAGCTGACTGACAGTGCGGAGTCTCTCGGCGCTGCCAAGAAGCGCTTGTTCCAGCTCTCTGATTCGCCCCGCTAGCTTGTCTATTTCCTCGTTTCGCTCAGCGAGATCCCGTTGAGCTTGCTGATTGGCTGCAAGCAACGAGGCGTGGTCCTCCGTTTTATCTTTGAGAACAGCTTGTAGACTCTCCACCTGCAGAGACAGCAGTAGCATCATTTAGGGTAGCAGGTTTTTAGAGCTTTCAAACAACAAAGAGTGGGTTTACAAACAATAAAACTATGTGATTTATCAAGAAAGGTAAATAAGCCATTCCAAGGCTGAAGTTAGGCCGTTCTGGAGCAAGGAAGCCGGGATAAACAAATAAAATGTGAAAAATTAACTAAATATTAGCTAGTGATGGGGAAAGGATGTGCGACGAGCACCGAGGAGGGTTGCAAAGGAAGAAAAAAGTGAAATTATGCAGAGAAAGTCTAGAGAAACTACAAGTAAGCTACAAATAGTTTTCATACCTGCAAAATCAAGTCTTCAAACTACAGCAGTCCATTCAGCAGCACAGGAATAATAAACACATAATAACAGTCAGGCTTGTGGAAAACACACGACGCAGCATCACACACATCAACACAGCCTCACACGCTGAGGAGGACTATTATTCAGTTATTCAGAATCACTCACACACACTCACACTCACACTCACACACACACACGTTACTTCATGAACTAAAGGATGATTTAACCCTTTAGAACCTGCCATAGAACAAGTTTGCCAGAACTTATATTTACATTTTTACATGCTGTGGTGCCACTTTGTGGAGTATTTCAACTTTCTATGCATCAATACAACCATTACATTCTATATTTTAATGATATATATGTAAAATGTTCACAGCATCCAAATAATTTACTAAAAAATGCAATTATCCGTACAGAAATTTAAAATCTTTTAGTTGTTTTCACACATTTTTCATTATACAGAAATGCCACAGCTTTATCCCTCAAAATTGTCAATGAAAAAAAGTTGCACACAATCCTTTCAAACAACAGCAAATTTATTTGAAGTGCCTCCAAAAATTAGTTTCTGAGATACACTCATTTATATAAACTAACCAAAAACAAAAACATAAATAATAATAATAATCAGCAGGAGTCTAATATAATAATGTTGAATATTTGTAGCTAATTTTTCAGTAGTATATAGTTTTCTTTTTCTCTCACTAATAATAATACTAATAAAGAATACTTCATGAATATATACGTGAGGAAACAGAAACTCCATCATCATCCGGCGCTGTAAAGGCGTCAACCGCTTCGAGGAGGGAGGGTGTACAGGGTATATACAGCAATCCTTAAGTAAAATTTACTACTTTTTAATACTTTTTTTTACTACCTTCAGAATTTTTTAAAAACCATCACAACACTTAATTGCAAGTGTTAATCAGCGACCTATTTACACATATTTTAACATATATAACATACAAAAAGAATAGACTTAGAGACTCACTGATGTTGACAACGTATTGCACATATTTATTTTACTTAGAAAATAGGCCAGGCACTTCTGTTCAGCGGTCCAGACAGTTGACCACGAGGCCTGAAATGATGCAGAACGACCACTGAATATGACGTCATCATTATGTGACCGGATATGCTAAAGTAGGGCTGCTCGATTATGGCAAAAACAATAATCACGATTAATGTGACTGAAATTGAGATCTCAATTTTTAAAGACGATTTTTCAATCTATGTAGATTTTTGTTTTTGTTTTTATTCAGTCATAAAACTGCCCAGGGCACAATCAGGGCAAAAATAAACAAGAAGCAAGATGATCACTAAAATAGCTCCCGATTCCCAGTATAAAAAGACCAATATACTTGTGGCAAGGTGGATAAACGAGAGCCCAGGCAGGATTCCATCCCCAGACTCCCAGGTGAGAGTCATACTCTCTAACCAGTCAGCCAAAGAGACATCCCCTTGGCCAAGTAGCCAGGACGCATGATCTATCGGGACACTGTGGCAGGACACTCACACTGCCACATACTTATAGCTCATAGTTTATGATCCAAGGGCTATAGACCTTGGTTTAACTCATTTAAGTCTAACCAGTACAGACCCAAATACCAATATCTTGCAAATACTGACAACAAGAATTATACATAACAAATACATGCAAATTGATGTTCACAAAATGTTGCATAACATTTATTGAGTCCTGTCAAGGTGCTGTAGGAGCGTGCACTAGCACCGTGTCCTCAGAGAGATTAGTTATTAGTTATCAGCGTGAGGAACTCATTTCTACCTTATTTATAAACTATTTATTTACAAGTCCATCAGTTAATGTAATAATTGTCACAACCACAGCTGCACCCCCCACCCCAGTCTCACAGCTATCAGGGGCAAGCTGCACGCGCGCGCACATTTAGCCGTTTTTAGCGGCTCAGGAGTCCGCAGGTGCGGTGTGTGTGTCACTCACTCTGGTTAATCCAACAAGGAGCCAGCTCTGAGAGCTGTCTTTAGCGACTGACACATCACTACATCATTCCCTTTCCTAATGTCCTGAAGAACGGTCCGGAGAGCAGGCGGAGTGTTTAGCTAACCTGCAGGAAATGTTGACGACATTTATCCAGAAAGTAGCTAAGGGTTACCAGAGATGTTTCTGAGGTGTTCGCTAGGTACTTTTAAGATTTAAAAAGTCAAGAAGGGGGTCTTAGAAGCTGTTGGAAATAGCGTCAAAGTCGCCAAGTTGGCAACACTGTGAGGAGCGCTTCATTTGCAACTCAGGGCAGCGTAAGTGGGAGGAGCAAATAATCGGCTTGTTTTGTTTTTATAATTGTTCAAAACATTTCATTCGGAATATATTTCTATGTCGATGTTCAGAATACGACACCTGATAGTCTGAAAAAATTAATACCTAATTTGGAAAAAATAATACCTCTGTGACCAAATTTAACACTTTTAATGGCCTTAAATTTGACTATTTTTATTTATCACTTTTTAATACTTTTTAAAACCCCGCGGACACCCTGGTGTACCGTTTGGCGGGTCCGTGAGTCATCAAAACGTTCGTAGTGGTGTGTGAGTGTGTCGAGAGTTTGTAGTGGGTGTGTGATGTGTGTAGGACGTGTTTGTCTAAATGTGTTATTGCGAAAAAGTACAACAAAAAGCCGAAAGATTGGGACTACAAAGAACTACAATTCGCGGGAAAATGATGTCAAAGCATGTGATTGGGTGAGTGTTAATCATGTGACAGTTCATGTCGACAACGTGATGACGTTTATTCTAGCGTGCGAAGCCCTGTGAGCTGCAGATACAGCGTCTGTGAGTGAAAACATTTTTTGTAATTTGTGCATTGTGGTTGTTTTTTGCTAACTCGTTAGCGGGAATACGCAGCGCTCTAGGACATGTTCAGTGTGTGAGATTTAAGTGTAACTCCTCCGGTTTAATATGCAAAAAAAAAAAAAAGTTTGTTCTATCTTATATAGTTTCAGTTCTACAAGCATTTGAACACAGATATGCAAATAGGAGTGCCGGTCTTAAAAAGATTAATGTGACAATTGTTGCTTTAAAAAAAGACCTAAAAACAAACCAATGCCATCTTTTTTAATTCATAATTCAATCACAGTGAATGAAGTTAAGCAAATATAGTGGACACATCACAGAAAAGGAACTGTGTGAAGTAATGATTGTTTAATATTTAACAGACACGTCCTACAGAAGGGTTAGGGTCCTCACCTTGTGTCCTTTGTGGTCCACAGCAGTCGTCTGTCTGAGTCGGGCTTCCAGTCTGAGGATCTCCTGCTGGAACTCGTCTCGTTCGTGTTCTCGCTCCACTGCCTGCTCCTGCAGGAGAAATAAAAGCATGGTTAGAAATTTAATCCAAATAAAGGGAAAACAAATACAAAGCTGACCTCTATAAACTGTCTGTCGTGTTTCAACTGTTTCTCCAAAGCCTGGACTTGCTGGCTCAGGTCTTCGGTGTGGGTCTGGTGGTGCAGCTCTTTCTCCACGTCTTTGGTCTGGTGATCCTCCAGTTCCCTCTCTAGAGCCCTGAGGCGCTGCGACAGGCTGCCGTGGTCTTTCTCTGCCTGCCGCTGCAAATCCAGCCTGTCTTGGATCAAACGCTCGGTTTCTGCTAGCAAAGCTTAGAGAAGGAAACGACGAAGGCGGATGAGATTATTATTGAAATCAGAAAACATGGTTTATACACACGGCACAGCATCCCAACAAGATCTGCTATAGCTGCTAAAGGCAGTGTTACAGTCACACAGCACTGCAAACACCCCCCCCCCCCCCCCACACACACACACACACACACCTGCATCATGATCTAAACTGCAGTGGCCGGTGGAGAGAAGGCCCATCTGAGCACAGACAGACACGGCTGTACTGTGAGGCTCACCTGAACAGGTCATATTAAAACGTGAGCAGACACACATCACTTGTTTCCCGCTCACCTTTCTCCCTCTCTCCAAGTCCAGCAGAGAGATGCTCCTTCTGGCGCAGGAGGAGTGTGTGCTCCTCGCTCAGCTCCTGATGCTTGGCTCTGAGGCTCTCCAGCTCAACCGTGAGGGTCTGCAGCTGGTGCAGCTTCAGCTTCAGACCCTCCACCTCCTCCACCAACTTTTCTTCTTGAGCCTCCTTCTGCTGCAGAGACTCCTCTAAAGCAGCTTTTTCAGCCACATAGCCCCCCAAAAGCCCTGAGCACATGGTGTTGATACGTCAGAACCAACATGGTGACAGAAGATGTGTGGTATGAGTCGATGCACAGCAGCATTCAGACTGATCACCTTCGGCCTTGTGGAGCTCCAGCTGCAGCTGAGTCTTCAGCTTGGCCTCCTGGTCGAGTTGCTTCATTAGGAGTCTGTGTTGTTCCAGGAGCTGGGTGGTGTCTTCTCTGCCTTGGGAGAACTTTTCCTCCAAAGACAGATGGACGTTACGAGTTTGCTCCAGCTGAAGAAAAGAGAATCCTTTTAGAGCTAAAGCGTGGTGTGAGTGGAGGTCAGTCAGGATTCACCTACTTGAGCGTTGGCCTGGTTCAGCAGATCCAGCAGCGTGTCAACGGCGTGTCGTAACCTGCTGCAGGCATTTAGAGCAGACTCTTCTCCTGCAGGACTGATCTGGGAGTCTGAAACCAGCAGGCTTTCACAGAGCAGCTGGGTCAGCTCCGCCTCCTCTGATGTCAGGTCTGCAACAGAAAAAGATCCGTGGTTAGATGGTTTTATCTTCACAAGTCACACATTTAAGTTTAAAAGAGCAGAACTCAAACCCACACACCTGATTCCTGGATATCTTTGTTCTCTGAGCTCCGGTGGGTCACCTGCTCACCTGTGGTGGTTCTGGTATTGATCTTTTGTCCAATCAGATCTTCTGTTGCTATGACACCACGAAGCATCTCAATCAGTACCTTACTCAGCTTCTCATTAGCATTTTGAAGTCTGCATCTGGAGGGATAAAAGAGCAAAATCAAAAACAAAGTCATATTTGACGATAAAACTTAACACGAAAAACTGCCACTTTTTTGTTGTCTGATTTTCTCCTCCAGACTCCTACTATTAACTTACTTCTCCTCTTTAGCAGCATGTAGGTCATCAGTGAGCATCTTCAGAAGATTACCCCCCTCCTGACTCTCTCTCTCCCTCCTTTGAAGGATGGTGTCCAAGGTCTCCATCTCTACACGTTTTCCTTGAAGCTCTTCCTGCAGACACCCAACCTCTGCACGCAGCTGGAGGGAAAAACAGCAGACACACAAACTTTGGAGTAGAGAAAACCTCCTTGTGACCAACTATCATGCAGAAGTGGTAAAAGCCAATTCACTTTCCCCTCTCCCTAAACTCGTCTTGAGCAGCACCTGCTTCAACAAAACAAAGCTGCTACCATGACAACAGTCCCCTCCCATCCTCTTCCAGACCTGAACGAATGCTAATAACTCACCATAAAGAGAACAGTTACCATGGAAACTAATTAGCAATCTTTATTTAAAGATCTATTCGTGTGATTTATCTCTGCATCATCATCATTTCCACTTTCCAACCAGAGCAGCATGAATTAAATGATGATTCTGGTTTTTAAGGTGTTCAGTACCTGGGCAACCACAGCGTCCAGCTGTTGCAGCTGGGCAGTGAGCTGGCTCATTTTGCTCGTGTAGCTCTGCTCTTTTTCCTGCTGTTCGGCTGTGAAGCTTCGCCTCGCCTCTTCAAGCTCCGCCTCCTTCTGCTCATCAAAGTCGGTCTTCAAAGAGAGCAGCGATGTGATTACATGAGCCAAAACCCCAGAAAGATGAAGTAGACTGTCGTTTCACACATTCCACAATCCTCCGGTGGCTGATGGTTAAAAACTAAAATAATAAATCCTGCCCTAAACCTTCTGCACCAGAGGATAAAGAGCTTAGATCTGCAGCAAAAGAAACCCGCGCACAGCCCAGAAGCACACAGATTGAGAACAGAGACGGACGAACGTCAGCTCTTCTACATATATGACGACAGGATTATGAGAAAACTGGGTTTGAATTAAGCTCAAGCGGGACACGGGCCAAGCGAGGGAACTGTCGTTGGGATTGAACTGGTGCAGCTGGAGCTTAGAGAGGGCAACAAGCTACGGCTCAAAAATAATCCACCATTACATCATCTTTAACAAGTCCTCAGGGTCCAAACATTCACAATGTTTATAAAGTAACCTGAGATGGAGTCACGTATTTTCACACACAAAAAAAAACAAAAAACGTTGATTCATCGGAATAGTTTCGATATATTCCAGATGATTTGGTAGCTAATTAATTTTCTCATCTTTCTCGTTTTTACCTTCACTTGATTAATCCGGTCCTGCAGCCGCTCGTCTGATTGGACTTTAAGGAGCTCCGCCTCCTCCAGGAAGTGTTGCCGTTGCCTTGACGACTCTTCTTCCAGCTCCCTCCGACAAGCCTCCAGTTCACGAGCAGAAGTTCCTTTGAGCTCCTGCAGCAGAAACACTGCAGCTGAACAAACGGCTACAAATTCAGAGTGAAAAAACCAACACAAACGCGCCATTATAGAGGATAAACAAGGCCTCCATTTAATCTCTCATAATGGAATGTGAAAGCTAAACTAAAGACCGCTCTCAACTCGGAGTGTGTTTAAACACTTGTAAATTGCTCGTTTAACTGTAACACACACACACACACACCTGAAGCTGGATTTGCTGTTGCTCTAGAAGCTGCTGTTTCTCAGCGGCGTAGCTCTGAGCGAGCTCCTGCAGAGCTGTGCTGTGCTGATGCTCAAGTTCCAAAACCTGAGAAAAACGATACAGTTTCAAACAAAAACTCAAGTTTTCACCTTACTGAGGTGAGTTTTTCCAATGCAGATGCTCATTTATCCTTTTTTGCTCTTTTATTTGGACATTTGTAGAAAAAAAGATGACACGAGTGGAGTAAAAAGATTTAGATTTGCCAACAAAAGGTCAAAATGTTGAGTTTGACACAATTTAATGTTTTAAAATATGAATGTCACTCTAGTCCTGTGGATTTTGTTAATACAAAAATATTCAAAATAAGATATTTACACAAAAGCTGGAAATGCTATTTTCATTTGACATATTTGATTTTTTTCATCCAAACGTAGAACAAGCTGTGCTTTAACAACAAATACCTGCTTCTTGAGTGTTTCCAAGGCTTTGCAGTGTTCGGTGTCTAAGGCCTGCTTCTGAACAGCCAGCTCCGTCTGTAAAAACAAACCAAAGTTAAACGTCGACACAAATGTTTGTATTTATTTAGTAAACAATACGTTTTGAACTCTCACCCTGTGAAGGTGGTTGAGCTCCGCTGCCATGGCTCTAAACTTCTCCACGTGTACCTGAGCCAACTCTTTTCTCAGCTCCTCCATCAGGTGTGTGTGTTCTGCACTCTGGACCGCCAGGTCTTGATGATGTCGTTCTTTAAGCTGAACAATCTCATCGCGCAGCACCTGGGAGGACAGCAGAGGGGAAATAGATCACAGGTTTTACATCTATAGAAGCTTGGCTGGAGGTTTTATTTGCACGGTCCATCTCCTCACCTGTACTTCCTTCAGGTACGTGGTCTCTAACGTATCCATGTTACCCAGCATCCTCTTCTCCAGCTCATCCTTTTCTTCCTGGTGTTTGCGAGCCAAGTCTGCCTCTAAGGCTTCTAGTTCCTCCTTTCGTTTGGAGTCCAGAGCCGTTTCTGCGGCAACAAGCTGAGCGTTGAGATTAGTCTCCAGCTCAGCGGTCACCGCTGCAAACTGAACCCTGAGACTGGCACTGAGCGACTCTAGCTGCTCTTTGTGTTTGGCAGTGAGGTCGTTCGTTTCTGTGGCATGTTTGTTCAGCAGAGTCGTCCTCTCACGTTGGAGTTCAGCTTCGTGTATGTTCTTTAGCTCTGCCAAAGCCGTTTGGTGTTTCTGGACCAAATGCTGCTCCAGCGCTGCCTTCTCCTCTTGTAACCTAAACAAACAAGAGAAAAAAGAGAGAGAGATCAACAACTTTCTTCTCAGATTTAAAGATTCACTTTTTATTCCTGGTGTATCTTTTGTTTTTTAAATTGAATTTTAATTAGTAAATAATGCAACTATTGATCAGAACACAAATTCTCCATACATTAGACAACAGCTGCAGCGTTCATATTCAACTCCAACTAAAATAAAATGAAGCCTGTTAGCTCTTACCTCTGCTGGGCCAGGCTCTGCTCCTGCATCAAAGTGCTGAGTTTCTTTATTTCTGCAGACATGCAGTCCTTTGCCTTTTGCAGCTCGCCCTCATACTCAGCCTCCAGTCTCTGTCTCAGCATCAGGACCTGTGGGTCTAAAACACAGACCCGTTAGCAGCTCTCTTAAGAAATCTCTGAAAACAAGAGCAGGTCTGGTGAAAAGTATCTTACTTTCATTTCTGTCCAGATCAACCTGCAGAGACCTGAACTTCTCTTTCTCTTCCTGGAGAGCCATTTCCAGGCATCCCCTCTCCCCATCAAGCTCCAGCTTCAAGGCAGACATCTCGTTTGCATGCTTCAGTTGAAGCTCTTCTTTTAGCTTCCCTCGTTCCTCTTTCAGAGCGTTCTCAACAAGGTTAAGCTGCAGAAACAAACACAAGTGTGAGTTTGACTAACGGTTCATGTGTTTGGGTTCTCTCTGCAGAGCCTGCTCAGATGTACTTGCACCTTTTGTGTGTTTGACTGCATTTCTGCATCGCGCCGTTCACTGAGGGAGGTGAGTCTGTTCTCCAGAGTGTGGATGATCGTCATTCTTGTTTGCAGCTGTTCAGTGAGGTACCAAGTCCTCTGTTCTACCTCAGCCTAATAACAGAAAAGCAAAGCTGAGCATCACAAGGTTCACAAAGTCACAACTAGGGATGTTCCGATTACGTTTTTTGCTCCCGATCTGATTCCGAGTCATTTGATTTAGAGTATCTGCCCATACAGAGTCCCAATCCGATACTTTTCAGAAAATAATTAATAGAAAAAGGGGAAGAAAAATCAGCAAAGTATTACAATAAGAAGAAAACGCATCTAAATTGTCCTGTTTCACTTCTTTTTTTTTTTCGTTGGTAAGGTCTTACTTGAACCCAAAAATATTGCTTGATTGCAATCATTTAGGTAAGTACTGCCCCCTATCGCCAGAGAAAATACACACCATCACTATAAATCTGATTTATTTCTCCCAACTCCGATCCTTTCAAAAACATGTGATCGGGCCCGACTTCTGATCACGTGATCGGATCAGAGCATCCCTAGTCAAAACCAAATGATCCGAATCCTCACCTCAACCTGCCTTGCTGCTTCCAGGTGAATTCTGGTTAGTTCTACACAAAAAACAAACAAACATTTAAAATGTTATTAAAACCAACTTGTAAATAATACAGTGTTTATTGTGGAGGTGCATGAGTGAGGTACCCTCAACGTGGCTGTCAGACAGTTTGGCTCCAAGTTGCTGCAGCTCCAGGGCATGACGCGTCTTCATCTCCTGCAGCTCTATGTAGTAATGGTCCGTGAGGTCAGAGCGCACCTGATATACAAAGATTCATACAGAACACATGAAAGAGCCATGGTCCTGTGTGCTAACAATTTAGGTGTCTGAGGAACTGCCTGACCTGCTCCAGCTCGTCGTTAAAAGAAAGCGTTAAACTAGTCTGCAGACTGGGATGGTCCAGGGCATGCTGGTCCTCCAACTCAAGTAGCTCCTGGATAAGATGCCCAGTAAATGAATTAAACGGCCATTTATTTTGTAAAACTTATCCATAATTAAAACGACACAGGTAGGAAGTATCGAGTCTTCACATCCTACCTTCGGTTTCTCCGGTCTGACCTCTTTGTCCTCTTCAGCTTTGGCTTGAGACAAAATACTGAAAGAGAGAAAACACATGAGAACTCTGGAATAGGTCAGAACTGTCCTACAATGTCACATAAAGCCAGTGGACACACTCGTCATCCGTTGTTTTAAGCACGGATTCCTCCAAGGCACTTTCTACAAGCCTCAGCTGAAGCAGAGCGATTTCCTCTTTGTAGCTCTCCTCCGATGCACGCAGCCTCTTCTCAAAGTAACTGGGAAAGGTGATGGTAAATGACAAAATAAAAGCCTTAAATTTGATGCTGGTTTATGTTCTGAATAATAATTCATGCAGATCACCGTCATAATAAGTTTAAGCAGACTTTGTGCAGGAGTCGTACCTCCGGAGGTTTTCCAGCTCAGCCTCATTCTGTGCTTTGATTTCTCGCTTTTGCTCATTAAACTCCGTCTTAAGGCACTCAATGTCGTTAACATGAGAGGAACGAGCCAAAAGCTGCTCCCTGAGCTCTGCAGGACCACAAAGCAGAGAGATAAAGAGTGTAAACACACCTGGGAATACACACACTCCTTTGATTTTCAACAGTCGCTTAGAGAGTAAGAAAGCTAATTTAAGCTGTTATAGACAGGATTATTCTCAAAAAGCTGAATATTTAAATGAACACTGAAGATCAGGAACTAAAAACAGAAACACACACACACGTCAGGCTCCTGTATTAACCTCACCTCCCAGCTCCTGACGACTAGTCCTCATGCTCTCCAACTGGGCCCACAGCTGACCTACTTCCTGTTCCCAGCTCTGTTTCAGAGACACCTTCTCCTCCTCCAGGCGCAAAACCTGATTGTCAGAGTTGGAATATTTATTTGACGTGTGTGTGAGGAAAGTGCCAGTGAGGCGAGAGAATGATGCTCATTCGGGTTGGGCATTGTTTGATTTTGAATGATTCCAATTCCACGTTTCGATTCCGGTTCCTATCGATTCCTGATTCCGATTCTTTCAAGACATGACATGCTTTACATGAGCCAGCTAACCACAAGCCCTACTTGATGAAATAATCTTAACTTCAACATGAATTTTTATTCTATGAACAATAACATCACCTTCATTTAGACAAAAACATGTTTTGGGGAAAAAAAATAAAAAGACGTGCAGCACAACCAGTGTGTTTGTTTCTGACCACAACCAAAGACTGGAAGAAGCCTCTGGGATGAGAGACTAAATGTCTCCAACATTCACAACATTGTGTGTCATTTATTATTATTATTTATTGTGGCAGAAGCTGGTGTGGTCCACCACAGAGAAGCTGCTCTAGCATGATGACTTTATTCTACAGGTTATTGTTCAACCTTCTGACGCTCACACACACACACACTAACACACACACACACACACGTGTTGGTGAGCGGCTGCGTCTGACTGCTGACGCTCCGTGTGTGTGTTTTTATTTCTGCAGTGAGACAAACTCACCTCACACAGTTTGTTCTTTAAAGCTTCTGTTAAATCCACCGTGTTGACGTATTTTAACAAGTTTCCTCTACGCTGCAGGAGTTAAAGTTTACATTACGGAGTAAAAGTTCGGCAGACGCGTTTGTTTATATTTGGCCGCTGCGTGCTGGGTGGGGGGAGGGGGAGACTCGGTGCTGCACACAGACAGCTGGTGTGATCAGCTCTGAAAAGCGTTGATCCCAATTTGCAGATCATGTTTATTTTTCAGGGAAATCGGCCGCTGATTCCTCTTCCGGTCGGCATAGTAGGAATCGAAATAAAAAACTTTGAACGATTCCGGGAAAAACTAACAGTTGGTCCCGGTTCCAATCGATGCTCGATGCCCAACACTAACTCATACCGTAAACCAACCTCCTGCTGAAGATGCTGCTGTTTCTCCTCAAGGTGGTGTACTTGCTGCTCCTTCTCCTGCAGCTCCGACTTGTGTGTACACACCAACTCCTCCAAAGACTCTGATTCATCCAAAACACAGAAAGTTAAACCATCTGCTAGTTATTCAGAGGACAAAAGGCTAAAATTTGAGTGTGATGTAGCTCACGGGAAGCAGCGTCTCCATTCCAGGCGAGTTTTAGTTCTTCTTCTAGTTTGTGAATTTGCACTTTGGTGGAAGTTTGGAGTTCCTGCAGCCTGCTTTTGGTCTCCTCCAGCTCTGATTGGGTCTGAGACAGTGCCGCTCTGGCGTCTCCTAGAGCTGCACTGGTCTCTGCGAGAGATGCCTGGGTGCTGCTCAGCTCTGTCTGAGTGGCATTAAGACTATTTTGGATCTCTACAGACTTCTGAGCGTCTCTCTCAGCTTCCGTCTCCCACTGAGCTCCGACAGCCTGAGAAAAGCAGCACTATCGATCAAGTTTTACAGAAAAAGCAGCAACAAATAGCAAATATGCTAATAAAATGTACTGAAATGGGACCTGGATTTCTTTCTTGTGCCATTCCTCCATTAAAGCTCTGTCCTGTGGAACAAAGATCTCCCACTGCTGCTTCAGTTCTTCTGAACAGACACAAACACACAGAGTCATTCACAAGGTTACAACTGCTGTTAAGCCTCCTTCTAAACTTCCCTCATCTGCACCGACCCGACTCTGGCTGAAGCTTCTGGGCTCCGCCTCGCTCCTCCTGATGAGCTTCTGGAAGGACGGTGAGGGTCTCCCTCCTGGACAGTTGGACCGGGCTGAGAGCTGAATCTTGCTCCAGTTGAGACATGTGGACAGTGGTCAGGCTCAAGCGTAAGGCTTCAAACTCCAAGCTCTTTTGGGCCTGAACACAGTTTATTTATGTTTTTAATCTTTCAACATTACATTATTATTAGGGTTGGGCATCGAGTATCGATTGGAACTGGGACCAACTGTTCATTTTTCCCGGAATCGTTCAAAGTTTTTTATTTCGATTCCTACTATGCCGACCAGAAGAGGAATCCGCAGCCAATCTCCGTGAAAAATAAACGTGATCTGCAAATTGTGATTAACGCTTTTCGGAGCTGATCACACCAGCTGTCTGTTGCAGTACCGAGTCCCGGGGCGTGCCGGGGGAGGGAGGGGGGACTCCATAATGTAAACTTTAACGCCTGCAGCGTAGAGGAAACGTGTTAAAATACGTCAAGACGGTGGATTTACTAGAATCTTTAAAGAACAAACTCTGGACGATGTGAGGTGAGTTTGTCTCACTGCAGAAATAAAAACACACACGGAGCGTCAGCATTCAGACGCAGACGTTCACCAACACTCGTGTGTGTGTGTGTGTGTGTGTGTGAGCGTCAGAAGGCTGAACAATAACCTGTAGAATAATTAAAGTCATCATGCTAGAGCAGCTTCTCTGTGGTGGACCACACCAGCTTCTGCCACCATAAATAATTACAATAATAATAATAAATCACACACAAAGTTGTGAACATTTTAATTTCCTTTCTGAACTATTTCTGTTGAGTTTTAATGTTTAAAATCTGTTAGATTGTTACTGACAGCAGCTACATTTAAGTTTCACTCCCTGTTGTGACTGAATGCTGCTGCAGCATGGAGGTGTAGTTCTCAGTCATCCTGGACATGATCATCCTGAGAGTTTTAGCTGAAAACAGCTGGATGTTTCTGGATATGTTGGAGACATTTAGCCTCTCATCCCAGAAGATTCTTCCATACATGTCTTTGTCTAAATGAAGGTGATGTTATTGTTCATAGAATTAAAATTCATGTTGAAGTTGAGATTATTTCATCAAGTAGGGCCTGTGGTTAGCTGGCTCATTTAAAACATGTCATGTCTTGAAAGAATCAGAATCTGGAATCGAAACGAGGAATCAGAATCGTTCAAAATTAAATAATGCCCAACCCTAATTATGATGCGTTTAAATAAAATCTACTTGTGCCTGCTGCAGCTCGGCCTGGTGAGCAGCTTCCATGCTCTCTCGCAGCTCCAAGGCCACATCTGTCCTCAGCTGATGGAGCTCCTCCTCGTGTTTGGCATTCAGCTCTGATGTCATCCTCTCATGCTCGCGCTCCGTCACCTGAAGTAAAGATGGGGTCAGAACTAGGAAAAGCAGAAAGGATTTGATCTGGTTGAGACGGTGATCAGCTGATACCTGCTTGATTAGGCTGATCTGTCTCTTCTGTTCTTCTTCCATCCTGACCTGCTGCTCCAGCAGCTTCGTCTCCATGTGGGCTTTTAACTCAGAAACCTAAGAACAGACGCAGAAACAGCCTTTTAACTACAGAGCAGCTCGCTTCAACAGTAAAAGATCAAAGTTCCCACCTCTTGGTGATGTTTTTCCATCAGGTCTTTCATCTCCTGCTGGTGAGACGCATTTAGCTTAGCAGTAGCCTCCTCCACAGCCAGGAGCTGTTGTTCAGAGAGACTCTTCACCTCCTCTTCCTTCTCCTTAACCTGTCCTAGGAGTTTTTCCTTCTCCTGCTTCTCTTCCTCCCATTTCTCCCTCTCTTCAGCCAACTGTTGAATCATGACAACGTCAGCCAAACTAGATTTGACCTGAAAACTAAACGATATCGCTGTCGTCCATCTCTCACCTCAACATCCTTGGCTTTCAGCATGTTCTCAAACTGCTCGAGCTCCTCCTCCAGGACCTGCTCCATCTTTTTGATCTGTTCGTCCATCTGCTGTTCTTTCCGCTTGTCCTCCTCCCTCTGCTTCACAGACTGAGCCTGGGCGTCCTCCAGCTGGACAAGGCTCTTTCTCAGAGTGGACATTTCAGATTCCAGCTTGGCCTTTTCTTTCTCAGCTTGCTCCAGAGCGTCGCGGCTCTGAAGCAGCTCCTGCTGCAGTCCTTCCACTTCTGATTGGACGGCTGAAACGTGCTCGTGGGCAGTCTCAAGCTCTCGTGAGAGCTCGCTGAGCTCCATCAACTTCTGACTTAACAAGGCTGACGTGGTTTCCTGTTCACTTTCTGTCTCCTCTAACTTTGATACGAGATGCTGGCAGTGAGCCTGGAGGAAAGGGGACAAAAATTAGTGTTTATCTTTTAATTTAGAACTTTATTTTACATTTTTATGAGTGTTTAGTGACTCCAGAGCCACACCTGTACTGCTTCTATTTGGACATCATCTCCTGTCTTTGTGGCATCTTTGGCAAAGTCTGAACTCGTCTCATCCTCCTGCTGATTCAAATGAGAGGAGAGGGTGACATCTTCCTCTCTCCCCTCATTTACCTCCCCCACTAGTTTATCTCCCTCCTGTGATTGAGAGGAAGGTAAAACCAACATGGAGGTTTCAGCTTCTCGTCCCGGCGACATGTCCGCATCTTCATTTTCCATTTCGTCCAATAAGGCACCGACTTTGTTTACGAGGCTTTCTGATTCATGGGATTTCAGGTCCATCTCTTCCTCGATGCGTCTTCTCTGCTCCTTCTCCTCCTCGAGCTCCCAGAGAGCTTGTCTGAGCTCCTCTGTTACTTGACCCCACCTAGAAAAATTCAAGAGTTAATTTTACCAGCTGGTGTGTCAGAGCAGGACCAGACATCACAGTCATGAATCCATTACCTTCTCCGTGCTTCCTCCAGCTCTTCTGCACTCTTCATGAGTTCCTCCCTTAACACACCCAAATCACGCTCCTTCAGAGCCAGCTCCTCGCGGAACTCCTCACACTGCTGATTCAGTAACTGTTTTTCCAAGTCCATCTCTCCAAACTGCCGCTCTGACATCTGGCTGAGCTCCGTCTCAGCAGAGGTGGAGTTGTGAGGCCACTGAGAGAGGGACTGAAGACTGGAGTGGACAGCTTCTGGGACACGGTCCTGTGAGCTGACGACGCTCTGGTCGTCTGCATAGACTCGGTTAGAAATCGACAGCAGAGGCTGATCTCCAAAAACATCACTGTTGAGCTCAAAACTGAAGAAAGACAAAGAGTTTACTTTTGCTAGCTGTGACCTAGTATCTGAGTGAATGAATAACTTCTCCCACCTGCAGTCTGCAGACACGTCCAGTTCACTACAGCGTCCAAAGCTTTCATTTAGCCCTGAATGTGCAGGAGGAGCTGAAGACAGGTAACGCTCCATCAGCAGGTCACCAGGTAGGGACTCATCTGCACTAATCCTCTCAGCACTAAAACCCGCTTTAGCTCGGTTCTCGTGATTCTTTGAAGCTTTAAGTCCTTCAACCTCCTCCTCTCGTTTCTTAAGTTCTCTCCCACTTTCATCCAGCAGCTGCCTAAAATGCTCAACCTCTTCTTTGAGCTCCTTCATCTCCTCCTGCTGTCTCAGTTTTTCTTCCTCTAGAGCTTGAAGACGCAGAGCGGAGTTGGCAACTTCCTCACTAAACCTCCTCTCTGCGTCTTCCTCCACCTGAAGCTTCTTCCTCAGCTGCAGCACTTCTTTGTTCAGCTTCTCCTTTTCCTCCTTGTGCTGCTGCATCTCAAGGCAATCGGTTTGGACTTGGCTTAACTGGATCTGAAGGCTTTGCAGATGCGCCTCCCTTTCTTTCCACTCCTCCTCCCTCCCTCGCCGCTCCTCCTCCAGTAACAAAAGCACATGTTGGTGTTTCTCTGTCTCCTTTGCTAGTTCTTCACTTTTGCGGCGGCTGTTCTTCCGCTCTTCTTCCAGCTCAGTCATCAGCTTAAGCACAACGGCGTTACTGTCAGAGCTGAGGCCTCCAGGACGTGCTTTTCCAGATTCCGTTGACGTTCCTTCCTTGTGATCGATGATGTTTGGGAGTTGGGAAGAAAAATCAGGGTGATGTTCTGCATCTCTACAAACGTCAGGCCCTGACGGACCTTTAATCCGTAGAAAATCTACGCTGGCCTGAAGGAAAGAGAAAACAGAAACAAAACTTAAATGTTGTTCACAAACAAGATTGCAGAAAACCAGGCTGAGGAACCATTACCTGCTGGATCTGTTTCTGCAGAGCCTGAATCTGCCCAGCGAGCGACTGGGCCTCCAGCTGCACCTGGTCTCTACTCACCAGGGCTTCCTGAAGGTTGTAGCTAAGTTTGGCAATTATTTCGTTTCGCTTCTCAACAGCCTCCTGTAATTGCTGTGGATGCAGAAGAACCACTCAGTTTTACTCCGATCCTCTTCACTCGATTTTCTAACTGATATTTCCAAAACTTCTTGCAGCTATATAAACATTCAATAATGTCGCTGATGATCTGCAAGGCCTAAACATCAGCATGTTGCTTTATTTTATTTTTTTAAACGAAGACGTAAATAGCCAGAGCTCAGAAAACATACAAGATTCATAACATCAAATAATAATTAATGCAATATTAAAAGCCTTTAAAGTACCGGGACAATGGAAAAAACAAATAAAACGACCTTTCTACTCCATCACAGACAGAGCTGTAACTAGAAAAACCTTATTATGAATAAAAGACGCTGAGCTTTACTGAAGCAGCCACGCAGAAGTAGAGTTAATCTCCTCATGGGCTGATGATAACAGGAATTCAGCGTTTTAGTCAGACAGATTGTAATAATTTAACAAGACTTCCAGTGTCTTTGCTGGTAACTAGAGCATGAAGAAGAATCTAATTGCAATCCTAATCATTTATACAAAACTATTCTGATAAGCATCAAAACCATTTTAAAGGTCGTAACAAAACTTTAAATGTCTAAAAAATGGATTACACCAGATTTCTTTATTTAAGAGTCTCATTCAATCTGATTAGAAGAACTAAGATACACGATAAAAACCTCAAGATGCTCTTTTCCAGTAAGAGCAGCAAGCTCCTCTGCTCTCAAGTCCTCCAGGGGAGAGGAGTTCTGCTCCGAGGAGGAGGCCAGATCCTCCTGGTGCTTCTTCTGCTGAACCTCTGATTTCTCTGGGGCCTCCTAGAAAAACCAACCTGTGCTTTTAAATCAGCAGCATCAACAAAAACATCAGCAAACCCCTAGCATATCTTCTGTGTAACCTGCGACTCCTCAAAATCAAGATAACATGGAAAAGCAGTGAGTTGTGCTTAAGTTAATCCTAACCAGGTTGCTATGACAACAGGCCCTCAAGGCAATGTGATGGTTAGTGACCCAGTTCTCTAATGTATATTTATCAGAAAGAGGGCATGAACAACACATTAATGAGCACACATGTAAACAGCCCGTGTGAGATAAAAGCAAAACAAACAGGTTAATAAAACACAAACGCTCATTAAAATGAAAGTCTGACATCACGGCTTCAGCGGTTTACCTCATGGCCGGACTCGTCTGGTCCTGTAGCTCTGGCCGATAAAGGAGCTGGTTCTACGTTACGGTCTTGCGTCGAGTTGTCATTCTTCGAGACAGTCTGGCCCTTCCTCTTCTGCGTCTTTTTCGCCGTCCCCGCACTGTCGCTTTTCGCCCGCTTCTGTCTGAAGCTAGCAAGCTGCGCAGGAAGGACAGTGAGAGGTAGATGGATACATAGGTCAGGACCACTGAGCACCACCAAACTACCAGCATGGTGAAGCTCGAGCGTCAGAGCTTTAAACAAAGACACTAGAGTCCAGATTGATTTTCAGTGAGTGATTTCCTGTAAGGAAATGTAGATGAGATGTGAAGTTTCTGATTGCAGGAAGGAATAAACATCGGATTTTCTTCTACACGAGTCAGCTATGAGGAGAAAAAAGCCAGCCAAGCAAGAAGAAATCCCAAAATAGGCTACACCATCACCTGTTAGGACCGCAAAGTTCTGAATGAGATGAGCAAGCTAAAAATTCACAGATCCCCAGAGAACTGCAGCATGTCCATGGGAAGAGCAGATTTTAATGAGTCACACTGAATTAACCTCAGCAAACCAGAAATGGAGAGAAAAGGATAAAAACATCTGCCTTTTTCATTTTGCAGACATTTCAAACTGATGTTGTGCAGGAACTTTTCACATCTTCTCTGAAAGTCCCTGAGATGATACTCCAAAGTGAAAAACATCATCCCAATGCTACGTTAACTCCAGAGGAACAAATTAACCTCAGACAGCTTCTCTCTGCAACACACCCCTCTTCTGGCACGGCTCGTCTGTAAGCTGCTTAAATCAGATCACAGCACTGGTCACAGAGACAGAGACCCAGACTGAGTTTTCCATCAATATCTGCCAAATGATTGACTTCTTTCCTTTCCAGAAGCATCACAGAGTTGTCCATTTTTCCAAATCAGTTGTGCTTTGGTCCAGATGTAGAACTGGAAGTCTACTGAGCCTCCCATGCTGAAACTGGCTGCTGAAGCAAGTGCAGAGTAGAGGGATCCGTAAACTCTGTGATGGCATATGTCTAGACCAAAGACAGAGGGTGGAGACTGGAACATGAATTCACACGGAGAGGAGGAGACAGAGCTCTCTCTGTGTGTGCATGCTCAATACGATTTGACGTTACATACTCCCAGGAGACCTACGTGTTGCTTTATGGGATGAGTCACATACATGATGCATGAAATTGTGTGTGTGTGTGTGCGCATTTGTGCCAGTGTTTCTTCTGTTTACGCATCTAGTCACAATATCAGAACGTGGGTTTCTACTCCTTTCAGCACCACAATACTCTTTTTATCATTCTAAAACAAGATTTAATTCAAATTAAACATTATTTTTTTGAGAAACCTGGTTTCAGACTCGCATGTAATTAACACCAAACCCAACCCGCTTTCCTGGCTTTACTATTCTGCCTCTGCTTGCCACAAAACATCACATCTCAGAAAGACATCATCCAGAAGAGCTGTGTTCAGCCCAAGGCCACTTCTGCACCACTCAGATTCTGACTATGCAGCTAGCTGAAGCTCTCACAATAATAAAATCAGTTTTAATTGGGCTGCTGAATACTGCAAAATGTTTTAAACCATCAACAGACTTGAACAGAGACCCTGTTTTGTGTTTATCTGTGGTGCTGTACCCAGGACATGCATCCAATGCTGCAACATAAAAAAAAAAATCTGCTTTTTTTGTGCAGCGAACAGTACAGACAACTGACAGCACTCTATCACCGTAGCAACATAGTTTATGCTAGACTTACAAAAACCCAGATTTAATCTTACAGATGCACTGCACCATCTGATGGCCTGTAATCAGTACTGCAAGGTCCATGCTCCAGTTTAATGTACTGGAACCATGTAGAAAAGGTGTGATTCGCTCAGAAGAAAAGTGTTAAAGATCTGAAAGGCTGGCAGTAATCACAGAAAATTTCTGGAAAGCATGACGCATAAATGCAAACTGGTGCAGCCGTGTCACAATATTCAATTTACTTGGTTAAGGTATTACCCTATGGTAAATGGCCTGTATTTGATATAGCGCCTTCTGGAGTCCTGGAACCCCCCAAGGCGCTTTACAACACAACCAGTCATTCACCCATTCACACACACATTCACACACTGGTGGGGATGAGCTACGATGTAGCCACAGCTGCCCTGGGGCGCACTGACAGAGGCGAGGCTGCCGAGCACTGGCGCCACCGGTCCCTCCGACCACCACCAGCAGGCAACGTGGGTTAAGTGTCTTGTCCAAGGACACAACGACAGCGACAGACTGAGCGGGGCTTGAACCTGCAACCTTCCGATTACGGGGCAAGCACTTAACTCCTGTGCCACCGTCGCCCCAATAAATAACTGCACAATTTAAACTTGTAATATTAAGGCCAGCTGTGATTCCCAGTGGGGAAAAAAACATAGCAGGTGGGGGGACAGGGCATCCAGAATATTCCACAACATAAAACTCAAAGTCCAAATATTGGCAGAATTATTGTGACAGGCAAGTTCAAGATTGAAGAAAAACGAAACGAGTAAAAGCAAAGAACCAGCGATTAACAATCCCCTAACACTCCAACGTCCTTGGCAGTGACCACTTCTTTAAAAACTTACCGACCGACTCCGAGGAATGTTGGAGGATTTCTGCCAGAAGAGACATTGGTATTACTATTACCAAGGCATTTGTAAAGTACTGTGCATCTTATCAGTCTAATAAATAGTTTACATGTCACTCACTGAATTCACTGCAAACATATGCAAGGATGTAAACAAAGACATATGAATAAAATGTGTTTTGTATGAAATTTTTGGCCAGTTTGTCTTATCTATTAAGAGGAGGTCATTCATGATCACTGGCTCATTACTAATAATAGGACCGATCTATATCAATGTAAACACTGTTCCTTGCTAAATTGAATTATGAAATTACACTCAGTTTATCCCAGGAATAACCATTTAGATGTCTGCTTTAGGGAAAAGCACCGATTTAACTTGATTTTATTGTTCTGAGGCTGGTAAATTTAATTTCTGAGCATTTCAGCTGTAGACATGCTTATTGTTAGTGTGTGCCTGATCAGCACCTAACAGCAAAGAAACACAAACCCAAAACACAACATAACAAGTAAATGCATGCTACTTAATAATTAACTTTTCCACCTCTACACCTGCGTTACATACATGTTAAGGTGATTTTAGTCCATCACTCACTACGATAAGAAAAAAAATGAATGACTTGACTCGTTAGCAAATCAACATTACACTTACAATTTTACCTACCAAACCGCCGCAAACGTGCACTGTAAACGCATGCAACTCGATGCAATTCACAAACTAAACACGAAAGTTACGAAGATAAATCAATAATTTATTGTGTGGGCGCGGTTAACAGTGTGACCTGTGACACAGGCGCAAAGCTACGACAAAAGAGTTTGCTAATTGTTAGCATAAGAAGTTAGCAACAAACCTTAGCTCTCCCAGCTTCTAATTTCCTTTGTCGTTCATCTTCATCCATGGCTGATTTTAAATTCAGCAGTAACCAGTTTTAGGACATGATTCTCAACGAAACACAATTAAAACACAGCAGGACTTTCTTCCTAAAATTACTTAGGTAAAACAAATATCTATTCAGATATAACTGCTGTCAACAGACAATTTTCAATATGGCCGCCAAGTAGGTTGAGCTCCACCCTCATCGAGATTCACTGACAAAACTGTCCAATCAAATTTCGGCCCTCAAAGGATTTTGCCAATCAAAATGCGTCTTACACAAAAGACCCGCCTATTTATGGCCCTCCACTCAAAATCGGAATCTTGGTAACCAATCCGGATAGAAGTTTTAAGATCGACATCTTTGTTATCCATTCAAACCTGGCGGGAAATGGTAACTCCTCTTGTGTTTTTACAGGATGGAAGTACTGAAAGGGAGATAGAAAAATTAAAACTGAGTGAAGTTTAATCACAATGAGTTGTGAGAAAAACTTGCATTCTCCTTGGAGACTTCAATAGCGGATGATGCAGCAGAAAATTACTTTATTAGCCCTTTCTTCATTGATCATCGGTGTAGCGGTGCGCGTTCACACTCCTCGGGATGACACACACGGCCCACTGCAGAACTTTATAGAGATAATTATACCAACCAAGTCATGAATGTTGCTCTAGGATATTTTGCAACTTTTTCACGAATTTCCACCTTAATCTAAGAAAAACTGTCGCCTGCACAAGGTCTTGAACCCTCAGATTAAAAGTCTGACGCTCTACCGACTGAGCTATACGTATTATTGAAATAGTTGTTCATTAAGTCCAAACAAATTTCAAATATTGATTAATCATATAAATTGATAACTAGTACCTTATAATCTCCACATTCAGCTTAAAAATCGTGCTGCTTCATACAGACAAAATAGTTGTTGTATTTAATCGATGAATTCATCACTGTACAACTTATATTTTACAGCATTTATAAAATACAAATATTGACAGATATGACTTAAACTTTCCTGATCCTTATCTCACCCAAACAGCAATGTTCCCAAGTCCCAGTGCAAAACACTACTAATATATTTGATTCATAACCGTCAGTCTTCATGGCACATCTCACTGATACGTGAATAAATTAAAAAGATCTATACAAAAGCAAACAACCCAAGTTAAGCGACATCCTGTGTGTGGAAAGAAGTTATTAAAGTGCATGTTTTTAACTTACAGAATTGTTTAACTGAAGAACTGCTAGGATGTTTTATAACCCTGTTCACAACTGTGCATTTTGTGAAACAAAACAGTATTTTATATGGTAAAAAAACAGTTCGCTATGAAATGCGCTCTGAAAGAATGAGCAGTGAAGCAAACCGTTGGGTGACACCAACCTCAGACGTTTACATAAATCATCACACATCTTCTGATCCTGGTCTTGCTGACTTTCTGTAAATAACTGATGCTGCTCTGTACACTTTCACAACCACTTACCTGGGCAGTTAGGGCAATGTTTCTTTACATTTTAGAAAATTAATTTGTAAAACCAAATACACACAATAAAATGTAATTTAAAAGTTAAAAGATTGATTTTAAACCTTGCTGCTCTTACGTCTGTCTATCTAAAGATGTCAATCCTTTGTTGAGAGGAATTATACATTAAAGACTTTCCCATTTGAGTTTAAATGCAACCTAAACATAATTTTACCCAATAAAATGTGCAAACTGTTGGCAACACAACAGAAAATGTTTCCGGTGCTTTTCTCAATGTAGCAACAACACATGCACTTTCGTTTTGTATTCTTTTGATGTTTTTAAAAATGCTTAGAGTGGTTTGATGTTTGACAGTGGCTGTAGGAAACAATTTGGTCCTTCAGGTCCTCTTCTGACAGCAGAATGTCACCCAGACTGTTTGTTTAGGCATGTGGAAGTCCGTAAATGTCACAGGTAAACAATTTAATGGTCAGCTGTTCCACATGGTTTAACTTTTTTGAGTCTTTCAATGAAACCTTCTTGCACGATCTGGCCTTCACATCTGCAGAAATAGAAGAGTTAGTGCTGGGGAAGATTTGGATAAGGGTGGTGGTGTGTTCAGATGTCAGCAGGGCACAGATGCTTATTAACATGGCTTGATTATGTCATCTGGAGGGAGGAAAGGAGGGAGGGAGAGAGAGAGAGAGAGGGTCACAAATTGTAGTTTTTTTCCAGCACACATGCAAAGTAAACCTATTATGAAGAGTGTTTACCTTGTGTATGTGAGGAGGCGCCTCATCGTCTGAAGTCTCCTCAGGTAGAGGCTCATGGTGTCGGGATGCTGCCGTCCCGTCCTCAGCCCATCCACCCATGGGCATACGAGACGTTCTCGCCACCCTGCCCCCTGCACCAAACTGGTCTGGAAAACAGAAAACATCAAATAGACTTCAGAGGATGTATGTTCACTTTACTGAACCAGAGTAAAACCTGCTGACGAAAATGTACAAAAATATCTTTGAATCGAATCTCATTTCATAAGAGTAAGAAGCATTAGACAGTAAAAGTCAGGATTAAACAGACCTGCAGCAGGTCCGCTGTGGCGCCGCTGGCTGCTGCTCTGTGACCTCGCCCACTCCTGGCCCACCGTGGCACCTCTGGTGGCGGAGGCTGAAGCCGAAGCGGCACTCGGACTTGAGGTTGCGGTGGGGAAAGTGTGGGAGCGAGGGAAACTCAGAGAGCGAGCACCGGGTTCACTTCTTACTTCATCTGGGATGCTGTCGCTGCTTTCATCGCTCTCCTGACGGTGCCACGTGTGGCGTGATGGCTCACCACGAGACTGCTGCTTGTGAAGCTTCAGGAAAAGGAAACAGGATAGAGATGAATTTGATATTCTTTTTAAATGTTCAGAATAGATCTCACATGCGCACACATGCAGCTTCACCTCATGCATGTAGAGCGCATGGATGCTCATTTCAGTGGAGGCATACTCCGACAAGACCAAACTGGTGAGCTGCCCCTCCCACGCGCTGCTGCCAGAGCTCACAGTTCGAGCGTCGGTTCTTCAGAGAAAGCAAAAGCAAAAAGAGGCATGAACATGGGGCAACGGGGATAGTGAAGAGAAAACATCACATATAATGTTTGAATTTAAAATTCAGCTGCAACACTTTTAGCTGAAGAAGCCTGAAAGGTTTTCACTCACCCAGAACCAGCCATGGTTCTGCCACTGCAACCACCAGCTCTATGAGCAGCACTCAGACTGCCTCTCAGGTACAGACTGCTGCTGATTGGTGAAAGAGAACGCAGGCCGGTCGCTGCACTGTTGATTCCAGCTGCTGCATTATTCATCAAAGAGCTGTCGCAGCCAAAATGAACCGGTGCCAGTGTGGAGGGGCCCGCCAACATGTCTGCAACAAGACTCCTCGGCTATAAAACAAGAGTCAAAGAACAAGTTCATCGCAGCTTCTGAAGAGGTCAAACACGAGCCGTGATTCGTGATCTTACTTCAGACTCTGATAAGGAGAGAGGGCGAGCGTCAGGCCCTGCCGTGGCCTCTCTGTGGACTCGTTCTTTCAGCTGGTGGATGAAGTGGGTTGTCTCTTGAGGAGGCTGCCACTGCGGGTTGGTGATGGCAAAGTGCATGAGGGACAACTCTGTCTTCCCGTCTTCTGCTTGTTGGTAGATGGATGCCTCGGTCTCGCCTGCTGACATCCACTGCAGAGAGAACATCATCACTCAATACACCGCGTGTGTTAACACCAGCACGCATTTGTGTCTTCTTCCTCACCGCGGGATGTCCATGCTGTCTTATGTCCATCTGGGCAAAGGAGCAGGTGTCACCGACGCCTACCACTTCCACGGTGAAGTTCCTGAAGAAATCTATGATCTCAAGAGACTTTCTCCTCAGACAGAAGATGAGGATGATGGGAGTCACCACCGGACTGAGCAGCTCCTCTAGAATAAACACCTGGAAGTGAACAAACAGGAAGTTAGAGAACAAACCTGAGTAAATCTCGCTTCACAGTCCTCTCCTGAGGATGAACCACATTCGACCGCCTCAGTAAGTCACCGAGCCTGAGTTACTCACTGCTTTGTACTGGAAGAGCTGTGAGAACTGGTCTCGGGTCTCATATCTGTGGGCGTTGCCCTGCCAGTGGTCGGGCATGTAGTGGATGTGAGCCAGGATGACTCGCAACAGCTGTTCAGGACAGAAGACCATGAGCTTATCAGGAATAAATGACCTGGGGAGACACAGGTGGAGGGAAAGAACGTTTACACTTACCATCGAACGTTTACACTTACCATCAAATCAATGATCTACAGTAATGACTACGGTTGTCACGGTGTGAAAATTTAACCTCACGGTTATTGTGACCAAAGTTATTACGGTTTTTGGTATTATCGCGGTATTTTTTAAACGTACATTTTCAGACAACTAAATAAACCCTGTATATCAGGAAAATATTGTCCTGTTTGTGTCTAAAATTTGCCTAAAATGTGTTATTTTGTAATGATGTTGTTTATTTGTTTACATTTTTTCCCTTTAGTCTTTAAAATACCAATATTTGCCCATAACTTCTTATTTTATGTCTGTTTGATGTCATCATTTAAAAAATGTTAGATCAGATGATACTCAGTACTCAAGTAGCCTTCTAATCAGATACTTTTTTTTACCCTTACTTGAGTAATAAACCCTATATCAGGAAAATATTGTCCTCGGTTTGTGTCCTTCCAGTGAGCTTTGCAGAAGTGGGGAAAATGTCATCAGCCAGTAATCATTGTTAAATTCATAATTATTCTCGGAGAGAGACCAACTCTGATCTGCCCCTGGGAGCCCCGTAATGCATAGCGTCATTTCAACATGGGTGTGTCCGCGACACGGTTTATATGCAGGTAGCGGCGCTGCGGCTGCTTTATATAGCGACTCGTTGCATTCTCCCTCAACCCAAATCCTCGGATCACGCATTTTAGCTAAAACGCTAACGTTAGCTTGCCTTGCGTTGACTGTAGAGTTGTGGGTGATGGTCACGCAGATGTGTCATGAGATTTGAAGCGTTGCTGCCTTTCACAGATACTTTTTCTGCACGTGCTGCAAACAGGAGCCGTCTTCTATCAACTGCCCCTCGACATTCTTCAAATATCCAAAAGATGCCCGTACTTCCAACTTTGTCTTCTTTGAGGGATAATAAATGTCCTGAGCACTGCCATCTCCTCTTGGCCATTATTTCAGCTTTAGCTTCAAGAAAGTTTAAATAACTAAGTGCGCATGTGCCACCGGCAACTTCAGCAGATGATACGGTGGCTGGTAAGGGTCACCGCGCCTACACCGCAGCCACGGTAAACGCATCGAGATAATATAGTTTTTAAAACAAGACGGTTATTGTTATTGTCAAATTTTTTGCCGAGGTTTACCGCTACAACGGTTACGTGACAACCCTAGAACGACTCAGATAAAACTGAAGCATTTAGCCTCTTTTTAGGCTGTTTTGGGATTGTGACCTGATGGATTTCAGCTGACACGTTGCACTGTTCCATACCTGCAGACTGTGATACACACTCCTAGCAGTGTGATTGAGGAGAGAACATGTTCCACTGCTAGAACGTCCTCATCATAGATTGTCAGGGCAATAAGAACTGCCAGGAGGGACCCGGCAAAAAACGCAACGTTTTTGGCGACTACCATCAGCAGAGGGGACAGGAAGCAGTTCATGTACTTGGATGCAGCCTGAATTAAAAATAGGAGAGGAAAATGGTTATTTGCTCACTCTACATGCAAACTATAAATGAAAAATCCTAATATCTGATGCTTTTGGAGAAGGTTCAGGTGGTGAGCTGACCTTGTAGCCTTTGCTGAGGCGGGACATGAGTTCATGGTCCAGTTCATTAAAGTGACGTAAATAACATCGACCATAGAGAGACCAGCATCTCGCCCCCAGAGAACCGGGCTCTCGTTTGATCACCTGGGTGCACAAACACAAGCCGCTGCTGCAGAAATAAAACTTCAGAGCTCTGATGCGTGGATGTGGAGCGCTTACCTCGGTGTAACTGAAAAAAGCATAAAGAATCTGCCACACCAGGATGACTGGACACAGCAGCAGATTAGCAATCCCAATCCAAAGGATGCGAGACGCCAGCCGGTCGGCGAGCTCGAGCCTGTTGCCTCCTCTCTTATACTCAGGTTTTAAACTCCACTCGTTCTCAAACAGAGAGCCTACAGAAGCGGAATGAAAAGCTCTGAAACTTGTCACAAACATGCAGACACGGGGATGTTAACATGCATGAGTGAAACATCAGTTTAGCTACAAGGTCTTGAGTCGAATGTAATAAAAACAAATCAAAAACACTTCTAACTCACCTGGTCCCCAAAAAAAGATGAGCTCAAAGTTGTACTTAAGACCGCGAGTGTAAAAGACGCACTCTCCGAGCACCGGAAGCCGAAATCGCACAGGGAGGAGAGATTTGTTTACCATAGCAACCTAGAGAAGAACAGGAAGCACATCTGTCATCTGATCAGCTGCTGAACAGTCACCATGCCAGCAGAAATGTACACACCATGTAGTTTTTAAAGCGGAGGATGCGGTGGTAAATATCCAGCTCTGTCAGTTCTTTTTTATGAATGCAAATCTGGTGCTCCTTCTGGATCTCGATGATCCTGGCCTGAACTTCCTGCCATGTTGCATAGGGGAGCTCCGACTGCAGCACGGAGCACAAGAAGAGGTTAAAGGTCAGCCTCTGATGTTTGTAAACATTACAAACTTGACTGGATGTTATTTTGAAAACACCAAACAATTGAGGACATGTTGTCTCATCTCACCATGGACATCTTGAGGGCGTGGATGTAGAAAGATCTGATCTCCCAGTAACAGCAAACGTTGTAGATAAATTTGACAAAGCGATGTAGCCAAAACACCCCGGAGATGATCAACACGAAGATCACAAACGTGTTGTCTCGAATGCTGCAAGAAAAACAATTCTTTTGTCACAATCAGGCAAATCTTAGTGTGGAAAATGTAGATTTATTGTGAATAAAATGTCAGACTCACTGAGCGCTGCAGACATCCACTGGGAGGAATGCATCAGGCAAAGTGACTTTAAAAGAATTAGTGTGGTTTACAAACTTGTTGGCAAAAAGTATGTCATAATCCACGCAGTTAGCGAGGAACACGGTGAAGCCAACCACAAACAGCAGCTGACTGCGGGGGGGAGGTCCAGACCAAACAGCAAGGATTAAAGAAACGAAAGACAAGACGTCAACTATAACATGACTAAGGTTTATGATACGTACACCAGCTCAAAGATCTCCCCCAACAACATGCAGGTGAATCCATTCTTCTGGTGAAGATTATAGACGTGGTGAAAATTAAGGAACATTGTGAGATTATTGGTCTAATGTAGTTGTAACAATCGTGTAAAAAAGGATATTCTTTGAAAAAACAGGTCCAGGTTTTCAATGTGATGCCACTGGGCTGAATGACAAGAATCGTTGATAAATAAAGACGTTGTTGGGCAATATGTGATGTCATTTAAGTGTGCATGTCATACATTTGCTTCCTTCGGCCACGTGCATCAGCAGGTTTTCTTCTCCGGGGGGAGAGTCGCTGTAGGACGCTTCCAGGCGCTGGTACTCTGTGTCAAAATGCGCCATGGTGACCGGGCTTGAGTCTGACTGAGCAGTCACAACTACAGGCTGGAGAAGGTATCAGAGACAAGAATAATCATTACCAGCTTTCTTATCCTGAACATCCTGTAGATAACACAGGTAAAGACAGAGCTTTGGTTTTGGAGCTGCCACCAGATTTCTGTTGATAACAATAATTTAAAACCAAACACCTTGAAAAAAAGAGCACCTTCAGTAATACACCGGATGCTTATAAATGTTTGAAATGTCAAAACCAAATAAGAAAATAGATTTAAAATGCCTTATGAAACATGATCTGGGGATGATATCAAATGAGAATCAGTGGAGGACATGAAACTCTGTTGCTTCATACTGCAGCTCCCTTTGAAATCATCAACTAGAATTGATTAATAATGAAGTAAATGTGATAAAAGTTTTTTCAAACCTGCTTACACGTTTAAAGTGTTGCTATAAGCACTGAAGAGATCCCAAAGACACTCTTGGAACTCAAATTTTAAAATCACATTAGGAAACATGTAATAATAATTATTATTATTATTATAATTATTATTATTACAATTATAATAACAATACAGACTTACATTATTTGGAGTATGGCCCGTCCCATTTTAAACCGATAGCTCGTGTCCAGCTGTAATAACATTCATATATATTTTACTTTTAAAATAAAAAATATTCAAAAATAGCCTCTTTCCCTAATAAAATTCCATCCTTACGATTTTGACAGCTTACACAACACACAAACACACACAATCAAAGCAAAACTTACTCCAAATGTCAGTTTTATGTTATTTATGCTAATGTTTATTAGCCATGACTAATTACCTGTAAAACAACAAGAGACGTTTTCGTGCTTTGACACAACAGGCCTGCCTCTCCTACCTCTCCTCTCGGTCCCAGCCGCATGGAGTTCACGCCACTTGGCTCCTCTTCCTTTACTGGGTGGGTGTAGAACAGTCAATCTCCTGGAATTTAAGATAACTATATTATTTTTCGTTTCCTCTGTGCTCCCTCTCGACGTCAGGTACGAGCCAGTTTCATTTTCGAAACGCCTATCTGCGTGCAGCCTGTCATCAGTGAGTGACAGAGGTATTATCCAATCAGAGAAGGACTTGTCTGACGAAACAGAAAAAGGGTGGGATCAAAAGGTTTTCATCTCTCCACTCCTTTCTCTCCCCCCCCCCCCACAAAAAAAACTTTATTGAACAAGGTCATAAGTATACAAACAAATAGCATACAAAATTGAACCAAGAAGATGCAACATGTGCCAGGGGGTGCACTACAGAAATGTTACACACATCCAAATAAATTATAGGTGGTGCAAATAGTTATAGTTTTTAAAGCTTTTTTGTTTAGTGATCCACTAATCAATTTTATGTAAAATAGAGTATCACTATAATAGTGCTTGAAATTAGGTTTTTGGTTACTATATTTGCATTTGTGGAGATAGAATTTAGCTAGAATAATTAACAAATTTATAACAAAGTATACACCTTCATTTCTGTGCTTGCGAAAAAAACAAAATACAACATTTTCCCATTTTAAAATGAAGTCCTTGCAGAGCTGTCCGATAATAAATCTCTCCACTCCTTTCAAGTCACCGTTTTTAATGAATACTTTACTGCCACCGTGTGGTCTTTCTCTAGTACTACAATCATGTCGGATTTACAGAAAACAGTTTTTGCTCATTTATTAAATTGATTGCATAATCATGTGAATTATTGAATGTTATTTAGAATAGAATAGAATAGAATAGAATAGAATAGAATAATCCCACAATGAAGAAATTCACTCGTTACAGCAGCACATACAATTAGAGAAAAGGATGGAGGAAAAATAAGATGGCAGGTAATTACACAAAGGCAGTAAGCTATTGATGTACCTTCAACAATGAAAACAGCAAATAAAAATAGAAAATCGAGTTTTTAAAAATATGCAGCATAAGGGACACAGACATACCAATGTACATCCAGTATTGCACAAGTATTGGTTTGTTGTTTACATGTGAAAGCCGAAAACAAAACAAACAAGAAGACACATCAGGCAAGGGTTGAGGAAGAGAAAATGTTTGGTTCTAAAACATTTATTAAATATTTAATTAATTTAAATTTGGGTAAAAATCATTCTGTCTTAGAAATTAAGACTTGATTTACAAGAACAGATATTTTTTAAATAAATGTCCAGAAAATACATCTTGCTTTGGTTTATATCGGTAACATTGATGATTTTGATCCAAAAATTGCTTTTATCTGTTTTTGCAAATATTCTCTATTCTCTGAGTTTTGTCCAGTAGCTGGGTCCAGAATACAAAGATAATTTTTCCACAAAGCCAGTGTAGTGTACCAAAAGGCCAAGTACTTGATCAAAAATGACCAGAAGTTAACTCTTAACTTGCTGGCCAAACTGCTTCATACAGGTCAGTCTGACACCGTGGTGCCGAAATGAAATCTATGAACTTGAGCCAACATTCTTAGCAAATCCTGCATGCATCATGAGTCCTCAAGGCTGCAAGATTTGGACTCCTTATCTTTTACTCTTTGAATAAAGTCTATCTTTGGTGACATAAATTACTTTAAAATTTCATATATTCATATTCTGTTGAATGAACAATTTGTTTTAAATGTGTTTGATTAAGTGTCCTATACTTCACATTAGTGAATAATGAATATTTTTGCTGTAATGATTCATTCCAGGGCTGCGCAGTGGCCTGTGGTTAGAGCTGTTGCCTTGCAGCAAGAAGGTCCTGGGTTCGATTCCCAGCCTGGGATCTTTCTGCATGGATTTTGCATGTTCTCCTTGTGCATGTGTGGGTTCTCCCCGGGTACTCCGGCTTCCTCCCCAAAAACATGACTGTTAGGTTGATTGGTCTGTCCAAATTGTCCTTAGGTGTGTGTGCATGGTTGTTTGTCCTGTGTGTCTCTGTGTTGCCCTGCGATGGACTGGCTCTCTGTCCAGGGTGTACCCTGCCTGATTGCCCGTTGACCGCTGGAGATAGGCACCATCCCCCCCCTCCATGGACAAGCGGGCTCAGAAAATGGATGGATGGATGGATTCTTTCCAGATCTTAAATTACATTAAATTTCTAGATCAGTAATTTTTGAATTAGTAATGTAATGTAACTGTATGGATACAATAATATTGTAATGTTACTGTATTCATACAAGCATATAAATACAAGTGTGTGTGGAGTAACTAACATGTGTGTGACGTCGGCTTCAGAGTGCCACATCATAGAACAAGTCCAGTTGGTTCCAGTGTCAGGTAGCTTTCCGAAAAATATTAGCAGTTTCTGAGGGTGGACCCTTTCAGGTTCAAATTTTACAAACACCTTCTGGGTGAACAGACGGTAGTTAGTCATCAACAGGCCTGGGCACTCCCTGAGTGCGACCCATGAAGAAGGCCCGGGGTCGTACAGCCATTTAGAGGAGGCTGAAGACACGTGGACATTAAGTACAACTTTGTTAGGGATAATGTGTCACGTAGGAAAGTGGTTCTTGTTTATTGTTCGACAGAAAACATGACAGCAGATATGTTCACAAAATCTGCCACAAAGGTTAAACTGGAATGTTTCTGCAAGTTTTTGTTTGGAATGTAAAGAAAAACAAAACAAGAAAGCAGATAAAAATGCTATTGTGATGTCATCGAGTGGGGTTGTTGTAGTGCAATGTCTATCACCATCAATATCTATGTGGTCGTTTACATGTTATGTGGGTGGAGTTCAAGTCCTTCAATAAAGAAGTGCAGGTTCCTCCTTCCTGTTGTGTGCTGCTGCAGGTGGCATCGCGAGACGCTGTGAGCTCGTTCATGCACAGTGAGCGCTAAGAACATGTGCATATGTTCAGTAAAAATGTGTCCTTATTACACTAGCTCAAGTTTAAGTTAGGTGACCGCATCCAGTGTGTATTGGGGAAGATGTCCACTCCTGCTGAGGCATCGAGAGCGACCGAGCAGAGGGGGAGAGATGCACCCGCTGGAGCGAATCCAACATATTGGCATGGCAATCTGACAATGTATGGTGCTTTGACAGAACACCGGCGCTGTGCAGCCTCAACTGACGCCACTTCCATTCCTCTGGTGGGTCAGGTCTCAAGGAATCTGCATCTTCTGGTCTGTCGGTGAGTCCTCTCCTGATGCATCCTCTTCTTCTCTGGTGGGTTGGGTTTTCAGGGGTTGGCTCCAAAAAGCATCCAGTGATATTCCCTTCACTGCTCCTGGCCACCTTTGACAGAGGCCCCAGTTATGCCGCCTACATAGAGGCCCCTGCTGTGCCACCTAATTGAGGGGTCCCGGCTTTCTTGTCCTTCCCAGGTCTGCAGCCAGTCAGCGGAGGCCCCCATCTTGCTCCCGTCTCGTGTGTTCCCTGTTTCCTGCGGTCCTATATCCTGTGTGATGGCTACAGCGACTCTATGAACTTGTTTTTATTCCAGGTCGTGGACAGTTTTGTGCCACCCGTGTGTTTTGTTTTTGTTTTGTTTCTTGTTGGGCATCTGGAGCAGCCCTTGAGAGGGGGGTATTGTCTAGTACTGCTCCCCAGCCATGGTTGTCTCTCGTCTCCCCTTGTTTGTGTTTAAATATGTTTATGTTTATGTATTTAGCAGACGCTTTTGTGCAAAGCGACTTGCAAGTGATAATCGGCATGTTGCCCTTGAGGCTAACAACAACAATAACAACAACTTGACATCAATCATGGAGAGGAGGGAACAAAGGAGTGGACAGTAGAGAGGGGGGACGGGTGCAGGGAGGGTGCTAGTTTAGAAGATGCTCTCTGAAGAGCAGGGTCTTCAGGAGTTTCTTGAAAATTGAAAAGGAAGCCCCTGTTCTGGTAGTGCTTGGTAGGTCATTCCACATTTGTGAAACGATGCATGAGAAGAGTCTGGATTGTCCTGAGCATGGTGTAGGCACTGCTAGCCGACGATTCTGTGGTGACCGGAGCGGCCGGGCCGAGACGTAAGCCTTTGCAAGAGGATTCAGGTAGATGGGAGTCGTACCATCTCGGACTTAGTATGCTAGTGTTAGCAATTTGAATCTGATGCGTGCTGCTAGTGGTAGCCAGTGGAGCTCAATGAACAGAGGGGTGACGTGTGCTCTTTTTGGCTGATTGAAGACCAGACGCGCCACTGCGTTCTGGACCATTTGAAGAGGTCTCACAGTACAGGCTGGAAGACCAGTTAGAAGGGCATTGCAGTAATCGAGGCGGGAGATGACAGTAGATTGCACCAGGAGCTGGGTGGCATGCTGTGTTAGGTATGGTCTGATCTTTCGTATGTTATACAGCGCAAAGCGGCATGAACGAGCAACAGAGGAAACATGATCTTTAAAGGTCAGGTGTTCATCAATCACAACACCCAGATTTCAAACTGCCTTTGAAGGAGCCAGAGATAGGAAGTCATTTTGGATTGAGATATTGTGCTGTATGGATGGTTTTGCTGGGATGACAAGTAGTTCAGTTTTAGAGAGGTTGATTTGGAGATGGTGGGATTTCATCCATTTTGATATGTCAGAGAGACAGTTTGATATTCGTGCAGAGACAGTGTGGTTGTCCGGTGGAAATGACAGAGCTGGGTGTCGTCTGCATAGCAGTGGTAGGAGAAGCCATGTGATCAAATGATCTCACCCAGTGAGGTGGTGTATATGGCAAAGAGAAGAGGTCCTAGTACAGAGCCCTGGGGGACTCCTGTGGCAAGATGGTTCACGGTAGAGGATTGTGCAAGCCAAGATACACTGAATGATCGTCCTGTGAGGTACGATTCAAACCCGGCATGTGCTTTCTCTGTGATGCCCATGCTAGAGAGCGTGGACAAAAGGAAGCCATGGTTGACAGTGTAAAATGCAGCCGATAAGTCAAGCAGGGTGAGCACTGAGGATTTGGCTGTCGCTCTAGCTTCATTTAAGGATTCCGTCAGTGCTAACAGAGCAGTTTCAGTGGAGTGGCCCTTTTTGAACGCAGATTGGTAAGGGTCAAGCAGACAGTTTTGTGAGAGGTATTCTGTGATCTTCTTGAAAGCCACCCTTTCAATGATTTTGGACAGAAAAGGGAGGAGAGAGATAGGTCGGTAGTTCTCCACATGATTTGGAGGAAGA